GTATTAATAAAGTCTCTCACTAGTATTATGTTGGGCCTTTATTACAGCTTTTAAGTCCAGAAGTGTTTTTCTCTTGAATCTGATGCACTGCTGTTTGGTGCATATATGTTAACAACAGTAATTTCCTCGTGCATCATTCCCTTTATTAATATGAAGTGACTTGTCTCCTGTGACTGATTTTAGCTTAAAGTCTGTTTTATCAGCTATAAGTTTGGGTACTATTACCTGCTTTTGGGACTTGTTTGCTTGGAAGGTCTTTTTCTTGCCTTTTACTCTAAACTTGTGTTTATTGGTAAGATATGTTTCTTGCAGGCAACAAATGATTGGATTTGTTTTTTGACCCAAGTGGTTGTTTTACATCTTATGATTAGAGAGTTGAGCCCATTAACATTAAACATGGAGAGAGGCATGTTATACTTCTTGTCATTTTGTTGTTTTTTGTGATTCTTGCTTGTTATTCTTCCTGTTTTGCTAACATAGTCTTCTTGTAAGGCTTATTCCTTCCTGTAGTTTTCTGTTTTTGATTATCATCTGTGGGTAGTATTTCCTTAACTATCTTTTGCAGTTCTAGTTTAGTAGTCAAGATTTCCTTTAGTTTTTGTTTATCATTGAAATTTTTTTATGTCTTCATCTGTGTTGATAGCTTCAATGTACAGTACTCTGGCATTATGTTTCATGACTTGAATTACATTTTTCCATGTCTGTGTTAAGGAAATATGCTGATGATTCTAATGCACTTGCCATTATAAGTTATATGTTTTCTCTCTTTGACATCTTTCACTATTCTCTTCGTTCTATTTGTGTCTAAGGGTGTTTCTTTCCTGAACTTGTCTGTTATTTTTATTATTATTAATTTAATGCCTGTAGTTCTTACTTTGTTTTTATTGATGTATACTAATTATATAAAGAAGTTTATTCTGATATTTCCATACAGGCATGTAAAGTACTTTGAGCATATCTTCCCCTTTTCTTTCTTAAGCCTATTCAACCACTTCATTTACGATTTTTAATGGATTTTATTGTTCTATTTTCATGCATACATATAATTGTCTCAGACATATGAAAAGATACACAGGGTCATAGTCAGATATTTACAAACAAATTGACTAACATGGTATACATAGTGAAGGATTCCAATAATGTAACTCCTTTAAACAAGTAATTTACAGTTTAACAAAATGACTACTTGGAATCTGGAACAGGTGTTGGGAGGTAGGAGTAGAGAAAAGGAGAGAGAAATGGTGGGCAACAACAGTCATAATATTCAATATACACATGTGAAAAAGTAGCCAGGTAACTTGAAGGGGTAAGTGGGAGGTGTAGAGACAGGGAAGAGCAATGAAAGGGGTAATCTTGGACTAGATGCATTGTACTTATAAACTGATTTGTTGACAAAGATAAATGTTAAAATACTTTTGAAAGACTATTTTAAAAATACATTGTACTTATAAACTACATGTTGAATTGAAACCCCTTTGTAGGGCTCAGATGTAGCTCAGTGTAGCAAAGCTCTTGCTTAGCAAGTGCAATGTCCTGGGTTCAATTCCCAGTAAAGAAAGAGCTGGGCACTGGTGGCTCATGCCTGTAATCCTAGCTACTCAGGAGGCTGAGAACTGAGGATCGTGGTTCAAAGCTAGCCCACGCAGGAAAGTCCATGAGATTCTTATCTCCAATTAACCACCAGAAAATGGAAGTGGCGCTGTGGCTGAAGCGGTAGAGTGCTTGCCTTGAACTGAAGAGCTGAGGGACAGTGCCCAAGCCCAGAGTTCAAACCCCACGACCAACCAAAAAAAGAAAGAAAGAGAGGGGGGAGAGAAGGAGAAGGAAGGACCAAAAAAAAAAATGCACATTTTTTTTTTAAATAAACTGTATGTATATGTCTGTTAAATCTATTTGGGTTTAACTTTAAAAAAAAAAAATTATACAACTAACTTGAAATTTTAATCTTTTTTTTGGGGGGGGGGTCCAGTCGTGGGGCCTGAACTCTGGGCCTGGGCGCTATCCCTCAGCTCTTCAGCTCAAGGCTAGCTCTCCACCACTTGAGCCACAGTGCCACTACCAGCTTTTTTCTTTTTGCTTATGTGGTGCTGAGGAATCGAACCCAAGGCCTCATGCATGCAAGGCAAGGGCTCTACCACTGAGCCACCTTCCCAGCCCGAAATTTTAATCTTTTGATGAAACCCTAAGGGTCTTGTAAATCCCCTTGGTATCTTTTAAGCCTTTTTTTTTTTTTTCAGTATCTTGGACAGTTTGGTCTTATTCCTCTTCTTTATCTTCCAACCTCTGGTGCCCTGTTTGCAACTTCGGTTCTTTCAGTTGTATTTTTTATTTGAGCAATTTAATTCTTTATTGTCATGATTTTTTTCATAGTTACCATCCCTTTTTAAATTCTTCTATCATATCTTACATTTCCTTCTTTAGTTGATTCAGCTGTATTATCTTATTATTTATTCTTATTTTCTTGGAATTTATCCAGCTGCTTTTTGTTTGTTTGTTTTCAGTCATGGGGCTTGAACTCTTGGCCTGGACGCTATCCTTGAGCTCTTCATCTCAAGGCAATCACTCTGCCACTGGAGCCACAGCGCCACTTCCAGTTTTCTGGTAGTTAATTGGAGATAAGAGTCTTGCACACTTTCCTGCCAGGGCTGGATTTGAACCGAGATCCTCAGAGCTCATCCTCCTGAGTAGCTAGGATTACGGCATAAGCCACCAGTGCCCAGCTTATCCAGCTTTTTAAGCATCATTTCCTTATTTAATCAGCCATTCTTATCACCGATTCATTGAGCTCATTGTTTGGACCCTCTTCCTCTTCATTCTCACTTAAATCCTTTATTGTGGCAATGCTGCTTTTGAGGGCAGAATTTCTCTCATTTATTCATTAATCTCATGATCTTTCACTGGGAATTAAGCATCTGGGTCCAGGGTTTGTTGAGATTTTAATCTCCTGTATAGTTTCATTTGGTAGTTTTTTGCAGCTTCATTAAGATGGGATGATAGTTTATGTGGTAAGATGGATTTTGCTTGACAAATAAAATAGCTACAGCAGTCATCAATTCATGTATACTCTCCTTTGATAAATTGTATTTTTATTATCTTTCAGTGGTTGTAAAAAGTTCATTTGTACTCTTGTTTTATAAACAGCTCTTATTCCCCTTGTTTAAAGAAATGTAAGACCTTATCGCTTTGTTTGCATGTATCTTAATGTTAGCAAGATTTTAAATGATTAGAATCAAAAGAAAATTTCTCTATAGAGGGAATGTTAGTAATGCTCAAGCAGTTAGTTAACATTATTATGATTTATAATACACACTAGACTTTAATAAAAAAACTTTTTCTTTTATATGTTTACTATAAATAAAGGGAACTAAATTGCTTTCTTCCTGTAACTTCAAAAGTATATTTCCTTTCCCAGCTTTCAATAGCCTTATTTTTTATTGTTACTGTTCTCTGATATAATAGCTTAAGTAGTATACAGTTCTCAACAGCATGAATTGAGAAACAAGTAATTTCAAATGTTCAAAAATTCTTATATGTCTCAGTCAGTAGCTTTGCTTAAATAGCAATCTTACATGTAGAATCTTTGTTTATGAGGTTTTATTTTTACTGAAATATTCCTAGGGGAAGATATTATATATTTAATGTTTGACTTGACAAACAGTAGTTAATATTATGTTTATATACCACAAAAATGTTTTTTACTCATTTTAACCTACTGTTTAACATACATGGCCCAGAGATATACAGTGTAATTTTTCAAAATCATGAAACAGTACTTTCTTATATCATTCAAATCAATATTATGCTGAAAATAGTTTATCATTTGAATTCCAAATATGCATTATGGTTTTTGAAGGGGCATCTTTGGTTTGTTTTTTGTTTTTTTAAAGTTATAGACTCATTATGAAGTCCAGGCTGACTCAAAAATCTGCCTTAGCCTCCCAAAGTGCTAGAATTACAGATATTCTACCAGCACACCTGGCTCAGATAACTCATATTTTTTAAAAGCTAACACATTTGAAAGTAATTATTATTTTGTGTTAAAATGTTCTTTCATAGAACTATTTTGTGTAATTCTTTAGAGTAAAAGATTATTAGGGTATATAAGCATATCTCCTAAAACTCCTAAGCATATCTACTAAGTAATCATTATGTTACTCTATGAAAATTTGCTTGAATTTAGTACTTTTATAATCTTAAATATTGAAGAAATAATTTTGACAGGAATGTATCTTTTTTGATACGGTTTTTTTCATTTGGTATTAAACTTTATTCTATCATCCACATAAAAATTACTTCTCACAGCCAGTAATCCACATTGTTGTTATTTGAGTAGTACGGATGGATAATGTAATGTAATAATTTGTCAGAAATCATCAAGGACTTTTACATTTAAAATGTTTCTGATTATCTAAAGTTTTGAGATTAAGTTTTTGTGTGACACATTGTTGTTTGATCTTTAAACACAGTTTAGTTAAGAGGGGATTTTTTTTTTCAGGGTGATAGGCATGATTGAAATTCATGAGATCCTTGAGAATAGAAAACCTGGTTTTCTATTGAAGAGTTGTTATGTTATACTAAAGAAGATGAATTTTGTGAAATATCTATGCTATTTTAACAGAAATAGCATCTCATTTCTCAAAAGGAAACAGCTGCTTTGTTTTGTTTTTTTGCTACGTGGTACTAGAAATTGTATGCATTACTTAGCATATAAAAAGCTCTCATAAAATTGTAACTTAGGAAATAGCAAATAAAACCATGGGATGTTGCAAACATATCTTGTCTCAGTTTTCTGGTTTTACTGTATGCTCTAGTTACTTTGGGGAGTCTGAGTGAAGGGTATATGTAATCTCTGTGCAATTTTCTACACATTTATATGAGACTGTAATTCAGAATACATTTTTACAAAGAAAAAGCCAAATCACTATATATTCCTAACATTTATTATTCAGTATTGTGATTATAGTAGTAGACTTAACACATTTATAATTCTTTCTATAAAGGCAAATCCTCCTCCTGTATTGGTCAACACAGACAGCTTGGAAACACCAACTTATGTAAGTTCTGTTTCCTTCCCATGTTTCAAAAAATTTTACCATTTCTGTCTGATTTTTTATGTAGATACAAAGGTATTGACATTATTTTCTCTTAATGGGTATTCACAGTCATTTTAGAATTTTCAGGAAATTTTTAGTAAACAGGTTTGTTTGTGTGATCAAGTATTAAAATAGTTATAACTGTAATTTTTTCATGGATTATAGCTTTTCTTGAAAGTTACTTTGTTTAAAAGTTTTCTTCTCTTGCCGGGCGCTGGTGGCTCACGCCTGTAATCCTAGCTACTCAGGAGGCTGAGATCTGAGGATCGCGGTTCAAAGCCAGCCCGGGCAGGAGAGACCCTGAGACTCCTATCTCCAATAAACCACCAGAAAACCGGAAGTGGCGCTGTAGCTCAAGTGGTAGAGCGCTTGCCTTGAGCTGAAGAGCTGAGGGACAGCACCCAAGCCCAGAGTTCAAGCCCCATGGCCGACCAAAAAAAAAAAAAAAAAGACTTAAAAAAAAAAAAGTTTTCTTCTCTTTCAATACTAAAAGCCAAAATAGTAGAATCTGATTTTAAAAAATAATCTTATAGTTCAAAGGGTATTTGGCAGATGAGGAAGTAGGTGCCTATGCTTTGGGTTGGTTTTTTTTTTTTTAATAGACTGGTATATATCATTTTATAGATGTTATTTTTTTTCACTATGAAAATGCTTTAGATGTTATTTTAAAATTCTTTTTCTCCCCATTTCTGAATGTGATTTTCAGTCCACATACTCCTTTTATGTTTTCTTTGTTGAAATATATTTTGTTTATGGGCAGAATTGGTGATCATGTTTTCCTTTTAGAACTCATATAGGTTGTAAGAACTAAGAGTTATATAATATAAGAAATAAATGCACATATGTTTAAGGAAAATATGTATATGTATTTTAGGCAAAATATCACCAAGTTGAAAGCAAGATTAGTAAATATAAAGGTCCAAAATAACTTCATTTACTTGGCTGTCCATTGGTGTCAGCTACTGTATAGGAGTGTAAGTGCTAATATTACAGATATTTCTAATATGTGAGCAGATGGTAAATCTAACTTGGGCATGAACTATTGAATGAAATTTGTGATAGAGGAAGCATAAAAGTTCAACTGTAAAGGTGGGAAATTGCAGGATATTTGGAAGTAGGAGTCATTCAAATTGAACAATATGTTAGAATGTGATGAAGTACAAGTTGTATTTTTGGAATGAAGGTAAGTGGCAAACAGGCACTCATTTCTGCAGAGCCTTAACTTCCAAACCATAGACTTGAAATAAGTTTACAAAGAGTTTCTGAACATTTTAGAGAGTTTCTTATTATCCTGGGTTTTTTTTATAAGTACAGATGATTAAAGCACATATGGCAGTTGGTATTACCAGTCTAAATGATTGGGTATTGCAGTATTTCAGAGGAACTTAACACAGTAGTATCAATGAGAAGAAGGTAGTATCAATGAGAATGAAGATTAACGGTTTTCAGGAAAATTGAAGAATTTTAGAGCTAGCAGCTAGTTAGATTTGTGGATCAAGACAGAGGAAGAGTCTGATAATATTTTCCTGTGGTGAAAGATACGAATGCCAACAGTCACATTTGTAGTCTTCCATTTCTTGAAAATCTTCCCTAAAATTATTGAAATGAGGTGTATTATTTCATCACTGTCACATTTAACAGATTTTCATTAATAAATCATGGAAAAATTATCTTGCCATTTCAGATTTTTTCACTCTAAATTTCTGAGCTACATCTCTTTCCCCCTTTAGGTTAATGGCACTGATGCAGATTATGAATATGAAGAAATCACACTTGAAAGGGTAAAAACTTAATGATCTTAATCTGTTATTTTAAAGAACTTTTAAATAAACTACTTGATCATAGAGGATTCAAGGGAGAACATCTTTCAAAAACAGAAAAATGTAATAGTTTCTTTTATAAATTTATAAATCAGAAAATTAGCCATGATATTTTCATAATTTTTTCTTTAATATTCTTTTAACTACATTTTTCTAATTTTAAAATTGTTTTAGATTTACAGACACCTTGCAAAAGAAACACAGAAAAATTCTCATTTTCTCTAAACTCCTGTTCCCTATTTTTAACATGTTACTTTTTTACAACATATATGATTCAACTAATGAAACAGTATTTATTAATTATTGTTTAATATTCATCATACTTCCTTAGTAGTTAAAATGCTTCTTGCTTTATTATTATATTACTTAGTTGTCTCAGATTCCTTTAGACTGACAATTTCTAAAGTGCTTCTTGTTTTAATATTTATAGGTCTATAATAAAATATTATTTATTTAAGAAAACTGCCTTCTAGGGCTGGGAAGGTGGCTCAGTGGTAGAGCGCTTGCCTTGCATGCATGAGGCCCTGGGTTCGATTCCTCAGCACCACATAAGCAAAAAGAAAAAAGCCGGAAGTGGCGCTGTGGCTCAAGTGGTAGAGCGCTAGCCTTGAGCTGAAGAGCTGAGGGACAGCGCCCAGGCCCAGAGTTCAGGCTCCACGACCGGACCCAAAAAAAAAAAAAAAGAAAACTGCCTTGTAGCAACTGACATTGTATCAGTTTTCTTTCCTAGCAAAATAATACCCATAGTTAATGGAACAAACTATACCAAAACTTAACTTCTTTTCCACTTTGAAAATAACTTAGGGTACGATTCAGATGTGAAACAAATTTCTGGAGATAGATTTTCCATGTGTTCAGTCAATACTGAATTTTAGTATTTTCCATCTGGGTTCAGTCAATACTGAATTTTAGTAATGGCACCTTGTCTGACCAGCAGTTCTGAGCAATTAAGTATTCCATGAGAGAAAATCTCATAAATAACAGCATGTGTGCATATTTAAAACTAAAATCTTAGACAACCTTAGACAATTAGTCTACATGTTTGAAGTCATGCTAGACTATAAGGAAAATAATAGATATGAAAGTGTCTTACTTATAATTAAGGCCACCTGCTCACATACAGTTTCTGGAAATTAAGTGACAGAAGTTTATCAATAAAAATAATAGTTATTGTGTTAAAATTTTTCCTTCTATTCCTAGGGAAATTCAGGGCTTGGTTTCAGCATTGCAGGAGGTACAGACAACCCACACATTGGAGATGACTCAAGTATTTTCATTACCAAAATTATCACAGGGGGTGCAGCTGCCCAAGATGGAAGATTGCGGTATGTCTTATACTTCATGTTGTGATGATGACTCTACTTTATAGATAATTTTCTTAAAGCATATTAGGAAAAGAATAAACATAAGTAAGAAGCACTTTTGTACTCACTAATAAGAGTAAAATGCACAAATAACATTCAAAGAAATGAATAATGCATTTATGCTCTTAGCATTGTTTCCATCTTTATTAAGAATTTTTTCACCATATCTAAATAATGTTTTAAATAAAAAGTTTGATAGTTTAAATGTGTATGACCAAATTTATAGAAATTATGAGTTTCCTTAGTTTTGAATAAAGCCAAAAATATTTTCCTTTTTTTCTGTTTGATGAATGTGAATAAACCTAAATTTAAGATAAAGAGAAAGGCTGGCATTGTTGCTCATACCAGTAAAAATAACACTGAAGCAGAGGCAAGATATGGCAAGAATGAGACTACCCTAGGCCACATAGCAAATTTAGGGCCACTCTGAGCTTTGTAATATGGATCATATCTCAACATACCCAGAGGTAGAGTATTTGACCAAGCGTGAGAATGGGTTCCATTCTCAGCACCTCTCCACTAAAACAATACAGAAGAACATATATATCTGATTTTGCGCCATACCACAAAGAACAAAGTAATGCAAGCTGTAAATAAGATTTCCTTGGCTAAAATTAATATTGATCTTAGTTAAATAACATTTCTTAGCCCATAAGTTATGGCATATTTCTTTGTGTGTGCATAGATGTCATTTTAGAGTGAAATTTTAAAGCTAAAGATTTTATATAATCTGTTTAAAAATAGCATGTTGTTTTAAGACTATTGGCAACTTCAGCAGATCTTCCATCTGTAAACTGGACTTTTTACTGAATATGGCAGTTGGTATACTAATGAAATTAGACATAAAAATTAAGAATTTGACCATTCATGTAAGTGTAGATATTGATTTCCTGATTATGTTACATCTTTAATTTGTACTGTTTATGTGGAAATTAATGTGTTACCTTTGTTGTAACCAAGAACATGCCAATGGTCTTAACTCTGAAGTATTATTGCTTTTAGTATAGACTTTCTTTCTTTGAATCATTAAAGAAGCTTATCAAATGTAGGTTTAATGTTTGCATTGTATTTTGTTTTCCATTCTGTGTCATCTTTTTTTTTCTCTAATAGAGTTTTATGCAGTTACAAGTGAAACCAGAACAAGGGGGAAAAGTTAGAAAAAGAACAAGTGAAATACTTAAAGAATGTATCACTCCAACAAATTGCATTACTTATATGTATATTTGAACTTTGAATTAGATAACTTACTCTTCAACTTCATATAAATATCAAGCAAACATCATTCAGTATTGAAGGTGGAAAAGACACTGAATTATTTTTGAAAAAGCCATTGAATTAATACATGTTTTGATATTATCTGTGACCTTAATCAGTTAATCAGTTTCTTTGAACCTCATTTTTCTTATCTTTACATAACATTTGTGTCACTTATTAATATGGTTTGGGGAGAGTTATTTAAACTTACTCCGGTTTCTCCATAAAAATAGTGATTTTATACATATATATATATATATATATATATATACATATACATATATATACATATATATACATACACACACACACCTTGTTGAAAGGGTTAAACACTGAAGAGAAGTACATAGTATTTGGTTAATGCCAAAGAATAGATATTTAATGTTTGTGTGATACATTATTTGTACTATTGTATTGCTCCCTTTGCTAGATCCTTAGGAAATAGTGTATTCATACATTGGAATTTAACATTCAGCCTCTTCATTCACAGTTTTTGGAGTAAATTCTCTTTATCTTAAGAATAAAAATAACAAAAACTTGATAAAAATAGAACATTGATATTTAAAGTTTTTAATATTTAACTTTTTTAGGGTCAATGACTGTATATTGCGAGTAAATGAAGCAGATGTTCGTGATGTAACACATAGCAAAGCAGTTGAAGCATTGAAAGAAGCAGGATCTATTGTACGATTATATGTAAAAAGACGAAAACCAGTATCCGAAAAAATAATGGAAATAAAACTAATTAAAGGTCCTAAAGGTATGTAGTAAATCAAGCTAAGACAGATTATTAAGTTGGAAATCTCTGAGCTAAATTCTGGGTTCGTAATTATGAATTTATTTCTATGTATATTCTAAGATTAACAATACTTATAGTCTACTGTTATTTCTACTGGTTTTTGTCTCAAGTAGCATTTTAGATTGTCTGTATACCCTCCAAGACTGCATCATTTGAAAAGTTATTGTTAACTTATATGTACTACTATTACATTTTTAAACTGTGCATATATATTAGTTTATAATTTAAAAATAAGTTCATATGCCAGGTGCCATTGGCTCACACCTATAATCCTACTCAGGAACCTGAGATCTGAGAATCATGATTTGAAGCCAGCCTGGGCAGAAACTTTGTGAGACTCTTATACCCAGTTAACCAATGGAGCTATAGGCTCAAGTGGTAGAGCACTGTCTTGATCAAAAGGGACACTACCTAGGCCCTAAGTTCAAGTCCCAGGACCAGCACTTACCAAAAAAAATAAGTTTGGGCTGGGAATATGGCTTTAGTGGTAGAGTGTTTGTCTAGCATGCATGAAGCCCTGGGTTCAATTCCTCAGTACCACATAAATAGAAAAAGCCAGAAGTGGCTCTTGGCTCAAATGGTAGAGTGCCATCCTTAAGTAAAAGAAGCTCAGAGACAGTGCCCAGTTCCTGAGTTCAAGCCCCAGGACTGGCAAAAATAAAAATATAAAAATAAGTTCATATGTTTGTTATATTCAAAATTTCCATATCCATTTTCATTTTTAGAAGGAACTTAAAGTAGTGGGTTCCTATTTGCTCTAAGGACAGATCTTTTGTTAATGACTCTTGACATTAAAAAAATACTCTTGAAGTCATGTGCAATGTTTATTTTACAAATCACTGTAAATACAGATTAACTTAAAAGATTAAATATAGGCTGTTAAAACAACAAAGTATTTGTAGTGCTTGTCATAGCAGTTCCATATACATTAAGATTGGTGAAGTGTGATGTGACTTGTAAATTTTGAAAGCATTGGTAGGACTAAGGGTAAATAGCTATGAATAATAATTCCAAAACTTGGCTTTATGGAAATAGAATTCCAGATAAAAAAGGAACACAGACTTGGAACTTATGACTTAAAATCCTTACTTTCTAAAATATTGGGAAAACTCCACTTTTTTGGGGGGGGAGGGAGGGGGTCCAGTCGTGGGGCCTGAACTCTGGGCCTGGGCACTGTCACTCAGCTCTTCAGCTTAAGGCTAGCGCTCTACCCACTTGAGCCACAGCGCCACTTCCGGCTTTTTTCTTTTTGCTTATTTGGTGCTGAGGAATCGAACCCAGGGCCTCAGTTATGCAATGCAAGCGCTTTACCATTGAGCCACCTTCCCAGCCCCTACATTTTTTTAAATAAGTTTTTTATTGTAAAAATACTGTACAGAGGGGTATTTTATTCTTATGAAAAGATAAAAAATGTTAATAAGCATAATTAGCATGGAAAAAAAAGTGAAGCATAATTTCACAGTCTGTTTTTGGACTATTAAACCCACTTACAAAATGATTTTAAGGAGGAACCTAAAAGTAAAAAGGAATCTGTAACTATAAGAGTGCCCATATAATCGACCCCTACTTGGGACATAAATACTGAAGGTATTTTTTTGTTTGTTTGTTTTTAATGTTTTGTTCATCATTGGCTTCAACTCAGGGCCTGGGCACTTTCCCAGTGATTTTTTGCTCAAGGTTAGTGCTCTACCACTTTGAGCCACAGCACCACTTCTGGTTTTCTGGTTAATTGGAGATAAGAATTTCATGGACTTTCCTGCCTGGGCAAGCATCGAACAGCAATCCTCAAATCTCAGCCTCCTGAGTAGGTAGGATTACAGGCATGAACTACCAGCTCTAGGGTTTTTTTTTAATTTTTTTATTATCTTTAAGTGGTTGTACAAAGAAATTCCCATTCTACAAAACAGTATATGAATCCAAAGTGTCTAATAACATTGTCACCCATCGCTCAGTGCCAGGCTTTTTTAAAAATCATCTTTAAAAAAAATCATCTTTAATGTACAAAGAGGTTTCAGTGTTTCAGTTCATGAATTACATTTCATCTTGTACACTGAGGATTTTTATAATAAATTCTTTTCTATTTTTTTAAACAGTGTGATAAAACTATCACCTTCTAATTTTTAAAGTCGGTATCATGATCATATTTCTTCTCCTTGCCCCTTTCAGTTCACTTTTATTGAGTCTAAAACTATTGTATCCTAAATAGGTCTTGGGTTCAGCATTGCTGGAGGTGTTGGAAATCAGCATATTCCTGGGGATAATAGCATTTATGTAACTAAAATAATTGAGGGAGGTGCAGCACATAAAGATGGCAAACTTCAGATTGGAGATAAACTTCTCGCAGTAAGTATTTTTATCATCTTGATAGCTAGCTTTGTTCCCTGAAAGACTGCACTGTCTAGATAGCAAAATTGTTTAAATGAGTGAATTCTGGTCATCTTTTACCAAAAAGGACATGTGATTCTTATTACCTGTATTTCCCATTTCTTCTCCCAGCCCCTCTTTTTCTCTTACTCTTTTCTCTCCTCCTTTGCCTCTCCTTTCTACTCCCCTATTCTGTTCTTTCCTCTCTTTTCCTTTCCACATTGAAAGGTTAAGGGCTTGGAAATACATGAAATTATTTAATCACAATTCTTAAGTTTATGGCCTAATGTCGTCATTTATGGATGACTGCCTTTGTTTCACTTTAATTAGTATATAATATAATTAAGAGTAGTGAAGGCACTCCTCAGCTCAAAAACTATCACACCAATAATTTTATAATGATTTTTATCCCTTAAAATGTGTTTAATCAAGTCAGATGCTGGTTGCTCATGCCTGGAAATCAGGAGGCTAAGATGAGAGGATTGAGGTTCAAAGCCAAGCAAGAAAGTCCATGAGATTCTTATCTCCAATTAAGCACCCCCCAAATAAAGCCAGAAGTGGAGCTGCGACTCAAGTGGTAGAGCCCCATCCTTGAGCAAAAGAAGCATAGGAAAAGCACTCAGACCCTGAATTCAAGCCCCAGGGACCAGCAAAAAAAAAAAAAAATGGTTTAATCATGCTGGGTTCAATGGATTATAACTGTAATCCTAGCTACTTGAGAGGCTGGGATTTAGAGGATCTCAGTTGAAAACCAATCTGGGCAGAAAACTCCATGAGACTCTTATTTCCAGTCTAACCAGCAAAAAACAGGGCTGAAAGTCTTGTTAGCGTGGTAGAGCACTAGCCAACCAAGCACAAGACCCTAAATTTAAACCCTAGTAATGCCAAAAAATACACATATATGCCTATTTTACTTAGTATTGCTTGTTTAAATTTTAAATATAATGTACTGTATATAGTCTTTTAATACTTTTATCACTCAATATTGTTAGTTGAGAAATAGCCTTACTTTTGCCTAGAGCTAAAACTCATGCATTTTACCTTTATGTAATATTGCACTTTGACCATATCATGATTTATCCAGATTTCATCAATAATTGCCTTAGCTCATGTTCCCTAGAAAAATAACCTGAAGAAAGTCTAATACGTTATGGTGTTATTGGTAGGTGTGATCTGGAAGCTAGAGTCAGTGAAAATGAAAAAGTGAGGCAAAGAATGAAGGAAAGCCAATACAAGGTAAAATGTTTCTGAGCTGGCTATAATTTCATAAGAAAATGTAGAATATTGCTTATTATATAGAATAGTCCTCTAGGCATCAAGTGGGGTGGGGGAAGGATTTATTTCCTGACCCCTTTTTGTCTCCGTGTGTATTGTTTTGTTATGGTCTGCCTCCTTGTATAGGTTAACTATCCCAATTTTTGGATTGTGTGACCCAGATTCTCTGGGCAGTTGATAGGGTAACCAGCTCTCATGTTCTGTGTCACAGCATTTCATCTGAGCCTAAATAAATAAATAGGAGAAAGCTGGAATTTGAATAGCCTACACTGGTTTGGTGGCAATTTATTTCCACTTTTTTGGTGTTACAATAATTATACTAAAGAACTGCTGTGTGTTATGGAGAACATAATTTATTGGATCATTGGGTGTTCAATTAGTATTATTTTTTAAAAAATTCTACATTCTATCATTTTCCAAGTGTTAAACTATATGGTCTTGTTAACAATATATAAAGGTTGCATTTTTCTGCATTTTCTCTAGTACCTCCAATCATTGCAGCAAAGAGACTGAATTTTTTAAGGTGATGGGGAAAAGAATGAGCAGAACTTGGTCTACTTTTCTCTAACTTATTCTCTCACAGCTATAATTGCTACCCTTTCCCCAGGCTACAAACAACACCTTTTCACCATCACCACCTACACACACGTGTTCATACACATAGTCTAAACCACTCGATTTCTCACTTTTATTTTTTAATTTGATGGTTACCATGCTTTCCTTTGTGCTTTCTCCAGAGCCAGACTTGTCAATAGAGGGCCAGCAACCTGTACTGATTTATTAAAGCAGGAAGACTGGTTTTATCTTGAGTCTAGTGTAGCTTTTGATCTTACGATTAAACTGCAATTAGGGAATTTTCAGTTTTCATCTTAATTGTCATACCTGGAATTTGACATGCCTTCTTTCTTCTCCAAACACTTTCTTCACTTTGACTAACACCCTCTAACTTGGTATTTTTCTTACCTCACTAGCCACTTCTTTTTTTCCTTTCCTGGTGCTTCCTTAACACCCTAGCATACTTGACATTAAAGTGATCGAGAACTCATGCCTTGTACATATTCTCTGCTTTCTCAATGCTCACTCCCAAGGTAGTATTTTTTAAACTGTGGGTCAGTACTCTGATCAATCGTCAAATAACTTTGCTTAAGTCTAAAACTTGGGTGATCATCCTCTTTTAGTCACACCACTACACATTAACTCTTTCTGTAAATTTTATTTGCTCTATATTATCTAGTAGTTTATAAGAAAAACAAATTTAAATGGCTAAAACAACAATATTCATGTGTTTGCTTATGGTTCTGCTAATTATGTAATGCTTACCTGGGACAAGTCATCTCCATACCACATAATGTCAGTTTACCTAGGACAAAACAATCTATTTCCAAGTTGACTTATACATACATATGGTGGGCAAATGGTGTCCCCTATCAGTGGTGAGCTCAACTACAGCCAGATGTTTTAATTCTTTAGTGATTACTCATAATTAAGTATGGTATCTGATCAGTAGTGGTAGGTTCTAAGAATTACCTTTCCAAGTTGATAAACTCCAATGTATGACATTTATCAACCTTCTCATTGTCTAGAGCTCAGTTACTGTATCTCATAGCCTGACTTTTAGCCAACCAAGATTCACAACTAGATTTGAATGCATACTTTCAATCCCAGCACTCAAGAAGCTGAGATATGAGGACCACAAATTCAAGACCAGCCTAGTTTACAGGCCTTGTCTCAAATTTAAATTTAAAAAAAATCCACCTAGGAAGGAATTTTTACAAGATTATGAATACCAAGATGGATGGTTTATGGCAGGCCACCAAAGGAGCAATACATAGACAGACTTTATTTTGCATAGTGTAGATCCATAAAACACAGTGGAAACGTGTGGAGATGTAGCAATGAAATCTTCTCTCCCCCACATAACTAAAATAAGCTAATAGAAGTCTAAAAATAAAAATAATGAAAACTACTATTTTAGTACACTGTGATTTAAAACAAGAATACTTCATTTCTTTATTAAAAAATTACCAGAACATTCTAAACCTAAAGCAAGCAGGAGGAAGAAAATATAGCTAAGACTAAAGCAGAAATAAGTGAGAGACTAGAAAAAAGAAAAGAAACAAAACTTGGTACTTATAAAACATCAGAGAAGCCTTTGCTAGACTATCCAAGAAAGAAGACTTAAACTTAAAAAAAAAAATAAGAAGGAAGAAGGAAATATAAGAGAATACTATGTCTTATACCAACATACTAAATAATCTAGATCAAATTAACAAATTCCTTTAAGGACAAAAAGTATTAATTTCATTCAGTAGTATACTGCTAGAGCCATGAGAATCAAAAAAGGAAAGCTATTCCAAATAAAAGGAAAAGGAATGGGGATATAGGTCAGTGATTAAACTCTTTGTGTAGCATGCAAAAGGTCCTTGGGTTCTGTCCTTAGCAACATATAATCTAAAGAAGAAATAGATGATGCTATATTTGTATAGAAAATTCTAAGGAACCTACTACTAGCACTTAAATGTTCAACAAAGTTGTTGAGTACAGTATCACTACCTAAAAGTCAGTAGTACTTCATTATAGATACAGAAAAATGGTCAATATATACAGAAACAACTGATATCACAGACAATAAAAATGAGTATTTTCTTCCCACACACCTTTATTTTCCTTTTTTTCTACACACATTATTTACCCAATTTTTTGATGTAATTGTTTATAACCAAGAATGAAAGGTCTTTAAAATTCATATCTTCTGGGGATTTTTTTTCCAGGTAAATAGTGTGTGCTTAGAGGATGTTACTCACGAAGAAGCAGTAACCGCCTTAAAGAACACATCTGACTGTGTTTTTTTGAAAGTAGCGAAACCGACAAGTGTGTATATGAATGATAGCTATGTGCCACCTGATATCACCAACTGTAAGTTTGTTTAAATTTATCTTATTTCTTTAGATGACATGTACTTTAATGTCCCAATATAAGAGAAAAAGTTTAACAACATAAAAGTACTTTAAAAGAACTACTAAATATTTAATCATTTCTAAAAGTCTAAGTCAAAATTTCATTATGAGAAGGTAAGATTCTTTTTTACCTCTACTGTTTAACATTTAAAGCATTGATTCTCAAGCTTTTATGAAAATAACAGTCATCTAAGAGTATTTGCAAGGCATTCACAGTTTCGTTTTTATCTAGTAGTTTGGAGCTTGAGCACAGAAATAAACAAGTAGTTTATTCTATTAACAAGCAGGCTAATTCTGATGCTTCTTATACTGGTTCTTAGACTGCATTTTAAGAAACCAATTTTAAATATTTTTAGGACTTGAAAGAATTTTCTATAGTCTCAACTATATGTTAACAGATACATATATTTAAGGCTCTTAGTATATTGCTTAACTATATTTGTGTGCAATCTAGTTTTGCATAAAATTAAATTGTTATTAAAATACTTATGTACTTTTAAGATTCTTATCTACCTGAGAATCTTTTTAATATGTTAATATCCCAAAACATTTAAATATGTATGAATGAGTTTTTCTTAGTTGAAATAGAAAACTATATTGGTGTTATGAATTGAATTAATATTAAAGAATAACAAAGATCTTAAAGGTACTCTTTGAGATCTGTTTTTAAGTGTTTCTTTTCAAAATTGTTTTTTTAATATGGCACTGTTCCTAATTTTAAAACTTACTAAGATTTGTTGCTATCACAGATCAATATAAATTAAATATAAATTACATTTTGAAATCTATTTACTGTCCTCATACATCTTTATTTATCTGCTCATTGATTTATTACCCAGGTGTAAATGAATCATTTTCTTAATAGTATCCAGCCTTTCTAATGGACAGAAATTGTGTCTTAAAATTATTTGGATCAGGAGGCTGGGACGGTGGCTGAGTATTTGCCTTGCAAGCATGAGGCCCTATGTTCTATTCCTCAGCACCACTAAGCAGAAAAAGCAGAAAGTGGTGTTGTGGCTCAGGTGGTAGATCACTAGCTCTTCAGCTGAGGGACAGCGCCCAGGCCCAGAGTTCAGGCCCCATTACCAACAAAAATAAATAAAATAAAAATTATTTGAATCAAAGAGAATAACCTGTTTCTTACTCAAAATTCCTTTTTAAGTCAAATAGTTGTGCAAGGAGATAGGAGTCTCACAGACTTTCCTGCCTAGGTTGGTTTTGAACCATGATCCTCAGTTCTCAGCCTCTTGAGTTGCTAGGATTATAAGCCTGAGCCACCAGCGCCCAGCTTATCACAGTTTCTTCATCTATTCATCTGTTGTAGGGCATCTGGGCTGTTTCCACAATTTGTGAATAGTGCTGTAGTGAACATGGTTATACAGATACCTCTATTGAATCTTGACTTGCTATCTTTTGGATAAATGCCCAAGAATTGTATCCCTGGATCATAGTGTTAATTCTGTTTTTAGTTTTGGGGAGAACCTCCACCAGCTTTATGTTAGGCTTCCTTTTCCTCCATGAAACCTCACTAGCATTTGTTGTTGTTGTTGTTTTATTTTTCACTGTATATTTTGTGTGTGTGTGTGTGTGTGTGTGTGTGTGTGTGTGTGTGTGTGTGTAAATAGGGGTTACAATTACATGGGCAAGATAATGAGTACATTTCTTATCAAGCATTGTTGCCTCCGCCTCTGTTTCCCTTTCCCATCCCTTCCCATTTCACTCCCCCTCCCCCGGCCAAAGTGGCATTTTTTATTGTTCATATTCTTATATTCTTTTTTTTTTTTTTTGGGGGGTCCGGTCGTGGGGCCTGAACTCTGGGCCTGGGCGCTGTCCCTCAGTTCTTCAGCTCAAGGCTAGCACTCTACCACTTGAGCCACAGCGCCACTTCAGGCTTTTTTTCTTTTTGCTTATGTGGTGCTGAGGAATCGAACCCAGGGCCTCGAGCATGCAAGGCAAGCGCTCTACCACTGAGCCAACTTCCCAGCCCGATATTCTTATATTCTTGATGATGACCATTTGACTGGTGTGAAATGGAACTCTCGGTGTTGTTTTGTTTGATTTGGTTTTTGTTCCAGTACTGCCACCTAACTCAGAGCTCTTGCTTGGCATTTTATTCAAGGTTGGCACTGTACCACTTGAGCCACACCTCCACTTCAGCTTTTTATTGGCTAATTGGATAACAGAGTCTCATGGACTTCTGCCCAGTCTGGCTTTGAACTGCAGTCCTTCAGCCTTCTAAGTAGCTAGGATTGCAGGCATGAGCCACCAGTGCCTGAGTGTTGTTCTGATTTGCATTTTCTTTATGACCAAGGATGTTGAGCATTCTTCATGTATTTATTGGCCACTGTACTTTTGAGAAATATCTGCTTAGCTTCTTTGCCTATTAATTAGATTATAGATTCTTTGGGGATTTAGTCTTTCAATTCTTTGTATATTCTGGTAATTAGACACTTGTCAGAGGTTTAACTAGCAAAAGATCGTCTTCCATTCTTTAGGCTATATATGTCACTGAAGAGTTCTGAGTTCAAGCCCTGATACTAGTAGGGGGATAACACATATATTATCTCAGAATCACAGTAGGTAAACAGGTATAGCTCATAGTTGCAACCAAAACAAGATGATAAAAATATAATCATGAAACTATTGTACCCATAAACAAAAAAACAGATTTATTGGAACTAAATAAGAACATAATTTGTCTGACATAAAATATTAAATAATTTTGCATTGCATGTCTTCTCACTTAATTTGCATTCTTTTCAGCAAAAAGGCCTTATTAAACTTAGGATTTGGTCCCTAAGTTTTTCCCTCTGACTTGATGGTCTTGTATTTCTTTTCCTCTCAAATTTTACAAGTCTTGGGTCATTTGGTACCCCGACTTGGACTCTGTCCTATAATTATTGAGAGTTTAATGTAAAAATAGCATTGTTTTAATCTGATCTTCCTTTTGGGCTATCATTTCTTTCATATGAGCATTAGTATTTAGTCCCTGTTGACCCTAAATAGTAGGTCTTGGATGTGAGTTTACATGTTCTAAAAGATTCTGTTGAATAAAGGAGCAGTCCAGATAGGACAGAAAAAATATAACATTACCTGTTTTGAGCATTTGGTGGAATTTCTTGATTAATTGTCCAGCAACTTTATCATAAAGCATCAAGAAATTTAAATATTACATTCTCTGTATTTTGGTAATTATTCAGGTAATTCAAATACGTTATGCCTTTATAAGCTGCAACTAAAGTATTTTGTAGGTCTTTGGAAAGCATGTTCAGGAATAACATTGTAATTCTGTAATATATGATGATTATTATTGAATGAACTCCAATAGGTTTTGCTTATTTCTTTTTTTAAATTTTTTAACTTTTTTCTAGCCTTTCCACTCTTTTTATAGTATGTTAAAAAGAATAAATAGTTCTACCCTTTGGGCTGACAATTCTGAGCTGATTTGCAGATCTAGATTTTTTGTTTTTTTGGTACCTATTTTAAGCTTCTGGTTTTCATTATTTACTATTCTTTAATATGTATACTTTTCTCAAACATTTAAAATTAAACCTATTACATTTTTAAAGCAAAAGTAATACTTGTACTTTAAAAGTACTTTTCAATACTCATTGAAAAATGAGAAGCAAATGGAAAAGTTTTAAAGGCATCTACTTTTTCACTACTGTGGAAAGCCATGGTTAATATTCAGTGTATCTTCTTCATGCCTTTTGGGTCTCTGAAAAATGTGTTTGGCCAGGTGCTGGTAGCTCACACCTGTAATTTTAGCTACTCAGGAGTCTGAGATCTGAGGATTGCAGTTCAAAGCCAACTCAGACAGGAAACTCCATGAGCATCTTATCTCCCAATAAAGCAAAAACAACAACAAAAAGCCAAAAGTGGAGCTGTGGTTCAAGTGAATAGAGCACTGTCCTTGAGCAAAAGAAGCTTAAAGCCAGCACCGTGGCCCTGAGTTTAAGTCCCAGTAGTAGTAGTAGTAGTAGGAGTAGTAGTAGTAGTAGTAGTTAATAATAGTAGAAGTAGTAGTATTTATTCTCTTTCCAACATGGATTTCCAGGGAGGAGTTTGAGGGGATTATAAGTCTGTTCTCTAGTGTATACTCTTTTCTGAAAGTCTGCAAAGATGAGTTTTCAGAACAATTATTGAATTTCAAATTGCTTATCTAAGACTTTTCTATGATAATCTGTTAAATTTTTTCTTGGATTTCATTGTACAAACATGTAAAATTCCTTTCTAAGTTGTATTTTCTCAAAGTAAATTGGATAAATTTGTTTTATTGATCTAAATGTCTGAATTAGATAATATCTAGTTTGTAATTGAAATTGAGCTTTTTTAGTTTTTCGGCTGATAAATCTTCTCTAACCAAATTCTGATACCTACATTAGTGAATGTGAACTGTACTTTTAACTTTGAAGTTTCTATGAGAACTACTGGATGGCGTATTTCATTTCATTTTTTTCCATTTTATTTTTTTGAAGCTTCTTCTCAGCTTGTTGATAACCATGTTAGCCCATCTTCCTACCTGGGCCAGGCACCAGCATCACCAAACAGATACTCACCTGTTTCTAAAGCAGTGCTTGGAGATGATGAAATTACTAGGTAAGGAATTTAACACTGATCTTCTTAAAAAAGATTAAATGGATTGTTAAATATTAATTTGAATAGTAAATGGAATTTTCATCAGCCAAGTTAGCCACAATTTTAGGACTAAATTTTTTTTTTAATTTGATGAATTCTTAAACCTTTTTTGGGGGGCGGGGGTCCGGTAGTGTGCCTGAACTCTGGGCCTGGGCGCTGTCCCTCAGCTCTTCAGTTCAAGGCTAGCACTCTACCTCTTGAGCCACAGCGTCACTTCTGGCTTTTTTCTTTTTGCTTATGTGGTGCTGAGGAATCAAACCCAGGGCCTCAGGCATGCAAGGCAAGCGCTCTACCACTGAGCCACCTTCCCAGCCCCTCCTAAACCTTTTTTAGTGTAGGAATTTTCATTGTAGAGGCCGACATGAAAAACTATTTACATTATAAAACATTTCAACTATTCTTTTTTTCGGGTAAGGGGTAGGCACCAGGCCATCTTGGTCCTCCACGTGGTGGGGAAAGGCCTGGGAAAGAGAGCCGGGAGAGCTGGGAAAGAGAGAGAGCTGGGAAAGAGAAGAGCTAAGAAAGAACTAGAAAAGAGCAGAGAGAGAGCATCTGGGCCTGGGCTCGGCCTTATCTAGGGTATAGGCGGAGAAAGGTGTGGCCACATCAAATTCAGATGTGACCTCAGCGGATGCAGATGTGACCTCTTCCATGTGTCCCAGTTGCCTAGGTAACGCAGGTACTGGGTGGAGACTTTGCTGCGAGGAGGGTGGAGTCTGCTCACCATCCAGGGGCGGACCTTACATTCCAGCCTTTTAATAATCATGAAATAGGGCTCGGATTCTCTCGGCTACTTCCTGCTGACAAGGGGCGTCGACAATAGGGGTAAAAGGCTGGAATTTGGCCCCCTCCCAGAGAAGGCAGTGAGCAGCAGCTGTCCCTTGGTGGCGTGAGTCCTTAGGTGAAGTCTGGAGAAGTCTCATGAGCATTGAGGGGCTGGAAAAAAATACTAGAGAGCAAATAAATGGCAAGAGGAAGGACTTGGGGCTGAAAAATGTTGGTAGAAATGTCCTTAGCTACTTCTAACATCTGGCGACTAGGTAGAGAAAGTCAGGTGACAAAGGCAAGAATATCCTGTTCAGTTAATAGGTAGACAGGTATAGACATTGGATGGGCAGGCTTCTTACTTCTACTGACCTCCCGGCTCTGGTTAATTTTGAAAGGGCAGGCACAAAGTAGCTGATGTGACATCATCTCCTCTTACTCCTGTCCGTGTTCCCTTCTTCCCCAGACTGGCTGAGTCTAGGTGCTCGTGGCTGGGATGGCTTGTCCCAGTTGGTTTTCAAAGAGGATTGAACTCAAGGCCTGGGCATTGTCCCTGAGCACTTGCTTTCAACTCTTTTTTTAAACATTGCTTTTCTGTGTTAAAGTTTTAATAACTGTTCTTAGAACTAAGATGAAAAGTATAGTTGTGCAGCTGGAGATGTGGCATTTATACGTCTTTTTGGTCCCCAAAGAATTCTAATGAGCTGGAAAATAATCAGTGAAAAAATGTTACAGATTTTTTCCCACATTATCAAGACAGCAGTAAGACATTGTATAGTTTGTTTCATAATTTGTCCAGGTCTTTTATATTATAGCATGTAACATTATATGTATCCCAGCTAATCTGTTTTTATTAATTGTATCCTTATAGTTTTATTGTTTTTGAACCTTTCTATTTATGATAATTATTATTTTTCTTGTCAGACTTCTAACTCTAGGCAGTGATTCTTTAAATATAGGATTATTTATCTTTTTTCTCAGGATTAGCAATGTTGAATACCAACTAGATGCTCAGGAATTGGATTTGGAATGAAAATTAGCAAAAAGAATAGTTTTCTTGATCTACTTGCTGGTGGCTCCACCTATACTTCTATCTATACAGAGGAGGCTAAGATCTCAGGATTATACAGTTAAGTCAGCCCATGCAGACAAATTTTAGAGATTCTTTATGTCCACTTAACCAGCAAAAAGCTGGAAGTAGAGGTATAGCTCAAGTGGTAGAGCAATAGCCGTAAGCCATAAGTGAAAGCTCAAGGCCCCACGCTCTAGTACTGGTGCCAAAAAAGAGAGAGAGTAACTACTCAGGTCTGTTTTTGAGAAACAGTCTTGTTAGGCAGTACTTCTAGACAAATCTTCCATGACCATTTATTTTTGTTTGCTTAATAGTTCCTATTTCTAGAAATATAGAGAAAAAGTTAATGGTTTATCTGGTCTTTAGTTTCTACATATTCTACAAACTAAAAAAGAAGTTGTTTCTGTCTCTTTATTTCCATCTCTATCCTTTTTACTACATATCTTTTGTCTAGAGTATTATATTGGACTTTTAAGTATCACACAACACATCTAATCAGTTTCCAAACTGTTCCATGAATATTCGGTGGGTTGGCTAGTGGTTATATCTTTTTAAAATAATGTGCATTGTACCACTCCCTTTGATAATCACTCCTATGGTGAGATAATTAAATACAAAAGTCTTTGTATAGGCATTGTTAAATTCACAACTTGACCCTAAGCAGTCTTTCAAAAGTTTTTCCACATTAACCAATCATATCCCAAGAAAAGAGTATACACTTAATAGTTTTTTTAGGATATTATTCATATACCATAAATGTTATACATTTAATGTGTACATCTCAAGTTCATTTGTAGTAAATATATAATGAGATGGATATTTTAACCATTTTCTAGTGTAAAGTTTAGTTATTAAATATATTCGAAGTATTGTGCTACTGTTGACCACTGGCTATTTCCAGAATCTTTTCATTATCTCTCAAAGATTCTATAACCATTAAGCAGTCCTATCCCAGTCTCCTCCCAATCCCTAATTGAGACTGATAAATTATCAAGTTCTAAATAAAATTGCCAAGGTATTTAATTTTTTTTTTTAATTTTTAGGGAACCTAGGAAAGTTGTTCTTCACCGTGGCTCAACAGGCCTTGGTTTCAACATTGTAGGAGGTGAAGATGGAGAAGGAATATTTATTTCCTTTATCTTGGCTGGAGGACCTGCTGATCTAAGTGGAGAGCTCAGAAAAGGAGATCGGATTATATCGGTAGGATATGACCTGTTAATTATTAAAAGCAAAGTTTATCCTAAAGTATGTGTATACCTGGTTATCATACCACTTTACTGCAATAACATTGCTTCATATGGTAGATTTTCTTTGACTACTTGGCTTTCTTACAAGGGGTCAGTTTTTATAAACTTAAGTTTTTACTTGAGTTTATTTTATATTTTAATCTGTTGTCTGCTCTGGGTGTTATCTAAAGATCATTTTATATCCCTAAATTTAGTCATTTGTGTTTTTTAATACTTTACTCGCAAAGTGTACAATTTTTGTTTGTATATAACTCTCATAAGTTACATGTTTCTCAGTGGACCACTATTTGTATTTGAGTTGAGCAGTTATTTTTCAAATATATTTTTTTCAAGTATATGACTATGTTACTGTATGTGTGTATACATATATACGTATATATATGTAGGCTTATATTGTTCATTGAAGAAAATTTAGCATTTGTAACTTCTCTCTCTGCTCCCTAGTCATTGAAAAAAGTAAAACTTTTCCTCAAATGTATATGTGCCTGAATGAGAACACTCTGTTTTTTATTTTAATTTAATTTTATTGTGAAGATATGTTGTACAGAGGGGTTACAGTTACGTATGTAAGGCAATGAGAACATTTCTTTTTTTTATTGTGAAAATAATGTACAGAGGGGTTACAATTACACGAGCAAGGTAATGAATGCATTTCTTATCAAGCATTGTTGCCTCCTCCTTTGTTTCCCCTTACCATCCCTTCCCTTCTCCCCACCCCCTCACCATGCCAAAGATGTAAAGTTCATTTTGTTGCAATGGGTCCACCTGTATCCCTATTTAAACAATTTGTTTTTTCCCTTCCCCTCCACAAATTATACCAACATCAAATACAGTGAAAACGGGTTATACAGTGGGGGAGGCACATTCAAAGCAACAAAGAAATATCTTATAAATATGTTAAAAACAATAGCAAGAAAGAAAAAACATTTGAGTCTTTATCCTGGGGTTCATTTCGCCTAACATCAACTTATCTGACTGTTTCTGCTTGTCTCAGACATATACTAGTTCTTGCAAATAAGGGAAAACATGGGACCTATGTTTCTTTGGGCCTGGCTTACTTCACTTAATATAATTTTTTCCAAGTCTTTCCATTTCCTAACATATGGGGCAGTGTCATTCTTTCTGATGGAGGCATAGAATTCTTTTGTGTATACATACCACATTTTCTTGATCCAGTCATCTACTGAGGGGCATCTGGCTTGGTTCCATATCTTAGCTATAGTAAATAATGCTGCAGTAAACATAGTTATGCTGGTAGCTTTAGTGTGGTCTTGTTTGAAATCATTTGGGTAAATGCTCAAAAGTGGGATTGCTGGGATTTCTTGTCGAGCATTGTTACCCACTCCCTTGTTGTTCTCCCACTATCCCTTCCCTCCCCCACCTCCCTAACCGCTGCACCCCCCCCCCAACTCTCTTCTTTTAACAATGGTTCCTATGCTAATTACAATCATATTTTTATTCTGCCCTCACTTGTAAACCTAGAATTCTAGGTTGGCAGTTATTATCTCTGGATGCTTTGAAAATACTGTTTGGGCTTCTTTGTTGTTTTTTTAATTTATTTATTTATTTTTGTTTGTTTTTGCCAGTCCTGGGGCTTGAACTCAGTGCCTGGGCACCATCCCTGAGCTTCTTTTGCTCAAGGCTAGCACTCTTATCACTTGGGTCACATCGCCACTTCCAGCTTTTTCTGTGTATGTGGTACTGAGGAATCGAACCCAGGGCTTCATGCATGTGAGGCAAGCACTTTACCACTGAGCCACATTCCCAGCCCTGGTTTTTTGTTTTTTGTTTTTTTAAGTCTCTTCCTTTTTTGGGGGGAAGGGGGGTGGGTCCGGTCATAGGGCCTGAACTCTGGGCCTGAGTGCTGTCCCTCAGCTCTTCGGCTCAAGGCTAGCACTCTACCACTTGAGCCACAGCGCCACTTCCGGCTTTTTTCTTTTTGCTTATGTGGTGCTGAGGAATCGAACCCAGGGCCCTCATGCATGTAAGGCAAGCACTCTTCCACCGAGCCACCTTCCCAGCCCCTTAAGTCTCTTCTTGATGGTTTGGTTTTTTTTTCTGGTTACTTTTGAACATATCTTTTTAGGTGTAAAACTAGTTTCACTCAAATGTGTGAATAATCACCTATAGCTGTGATCTATCTTTTAATAAAAACTAAAATTTTATTATCAGAGTATAATTTTCCCCTAGGCATTTTTATTAATTCTTTTTATAAACTACCTTAGCAGTTTTGATATGAAGTATTGATTACCTACAGCTTCATAAGTACATGTAGGTTTTTCCGCTAAGCATACTTGTTTTATTTTCTATACATAATAGCTTTATTTTCCGATATTCATAAGTTAATAGTGCATGATTTTTTTATGGATCCTCTTGGTAACTTATTTTCACATGTTCTAAATTGTATTGTAAGATTATTTCAATAGTATTTAGTTTACTTTGTGGAAATTCAAAATGCTGTTTGAATTGAGAAATGATGAAGTTTTGTATATTTCATGAAGTAAGCTTTTAGAAGCCATATTTTTCCAAAGGCAAAATTAAAATTTCGAAGTTACATTGCCTATAACAGCAAATAAATGGCTCAGACAGGAGTCATTCCTTTATTTACCATAATCGCTATCCATGTTTTGTTTTTTATTTAATAAGTATATGGTAGAGAGCACTGTTGGCTCACACTTGTTAATCCTAGCTATTCAGGAGGCTGAGGTCTGAGGATCACAATTTGAAGCCAGCCAATAGGAAAGATTGTGAGACTCTTACCTCTAGTTAACCACCAAAAAGCTAGAATTAGAGCTGTGGCTCAAGTTGTGGAGTCCAAAAAAGCTTGAGCAAAAACGCTCAGGGATAGTGCCTAAGCTCTGAGTTCAAGTGCCAGGACCAACACCCCCCCCCCCCCCCAAAAAAAAAGAAATGTTATGATAAACTTTCTTAACTTTAAAATTTGTGATATAAGCCAGGCATGAGTGTTTACATTTGTAATTCCAGCTACAAAAAGCAAGAGATTGGGCAAATCACAGTTCAAGACCAGCCCAGGCAAATAGTTATTGAGACCTCATCTGAATTAATGCGTAGACATGGGGTCATAATTTCAGTTACAGGGCCCATAAGAAGAACTGCAGTTGGAGGCTAGCATGGGCAAAAACTCAAGACCCTACCTTTAAAATATCTAAAACAACTCAAGACCCTACTTTAGAATATCTAAAACAAAAAAGGGGTAGCTCATACCTATAATCCTAGCTACTCAGGAGGCTGAGATCTGAGGATAGCGGTTCAAAGCCAGCCCATGCAAGAAAGTAAGACTCTTCAATAAACCACCAGAAAACCAGAAGTGGTGTTGTGGCTCAAGTGGTAGAGCGCTAGTCTTGAGCTGAAGAGCTGAGGGATGGCGCCCAAACCCCATGACCGACAAAAAAAATTTTAAAAAGAGGGGGTTTGCTGAGATGTGTCTCAACAAGCCTTGGTACTACCATGCTTGCCTACTAATTTCTAATACAACCAATAAAAAGAAGAAAGAAAAGAATTTCAAAACTGTGGATGAGAGAACCAGTGCTAATGGCACAGACTAACAGAAGGTAAATGAGGATAAACATTGTCTACATAGTTAATTGGCATGCATTTAAAAAAAAAAAAAGAAACCTGTTGGAAGTGTTTTAAGAATGAGGGTGGGGAGGAAAGGAATAAGAAAGAATGAGGTTGATCAGGATATATTGTGTGTGCGTGTGTGTGTGTGTGTGTGTGTGTGTGTGTGTGTTTAGAATTGTCAAAACAATCCTTGTATAACTCATGAATGCTAATTTTAAAAAGGAATTTGCGATGTACAAGCAAACCTTATGAATTGACAGTGCTTTTCAGCATTAACTTGTCAACAGTAACAAAAATCAGAGAATACTGCTCAAACTAAAGATAAATGTGGCAAGAATATGATAAGAAAAGCATTCCAGAAATGTAAATTGCATCTTAGGTGGTTTTCAAGATCTTCCAAGAAAGACCTAAAAAGTCCTAACCTCTACCTCTGACTGAGTATGAGGCTGCACTGTGCAAGAAAGAAGTGTAGATTAAGACAACATTTCTACTGCTCACAGTGTAGAATGCCTAGCAAGTATGAGGCCCCCCCGTACTCCCCAAAAATGTCCTAAAGACAACTATATTCTATTACTGGCTCTTAATTTTTGAAAATTAAATATTAAAAGTTAATTATATTCAAGTATAATGGCTCTATAAATGTGATAGGTTTGTCTTAGTGGAAAATGTGCAATCTCTTAAAATGGTGAACCTTACAATACGTACTAAGGAACTTTTCAGAAATAAGTATTAAGTTGCTTATTCATCTGGAATGGGATTGGTCACCTCAGTAATTATTTTGCCTAGGGAAGAGTCTTTTATTCAAAACATGTCTCCTGATAGATTTAATATTTACTCTGTTTAAATCAGTACATTATCTTTGGTGCATGAAATTGCTTTCAATAGACAATACTCTTGTTTCACCTATATTTTTGTAGAAAAGTTACTGCAGCTAATCTGTGCCTACAAGTGAGAGACCATTGTAAATTCTAATCAAAGTGATAATTGCCTCTCAGATTAAGATTGGGTTTTGTTTACAGGTGAACAGTGTTGACCTCAGAGCTGCCAGTCATGAGCAGGCAGCAGCTGCTCTGAAAAATGCTGGCCAAGCTGTCACAATTGTTGCACAGTATCGACCTGAAGGTAATAAAGTTCTTGCTCTGTGATTGTTGCTTAGTCCAGTTGTTTTCCCTATTCTTCCTCTTAATAATGTTTAATTGTATTTACATTTTTTATGTTTAATTCAGATTTTTTTCATCCAGTATTTGTTTAGTATTTGTTTAGTCTGCACCCAATTGATTCTTCCAGGACAAAAGTGTTTTTAGTAGCATGTAGAAATTTTTTATCAAAAATTTGTATCATTTCTCAAGGGTTTTTTTTAATCTGACCTCTTTTAATGACCCTTTTACTAGCTTGTTGAGCTGAAATATTAATAAAAATCCTAAGTAAAAATAGTAATAAAGCCAAATAAAATTAGGTCTGACCTCTAAATTAGATTATTAATACCAAATTTCAAATATTTCTAATACCTGTTATTATAATTTGAAGAGTAGAAGTTTGAAATCTGAACAATGTAATACAATGTGTTTCCATGACTTTACCAGAGTCCTAGGGGAAGGAAGTGGTAATGGAAAATATGAGGTGATGCCATAGGAAACATATATAAAACTCTGTTGTGCTTCACATTACTACTTTACCAATAAAACCTCAGTGGAATTTACAAAGTTTAAACACCAAAAAGGATACATAATATACTTGTTAATGTTCATAAACAACATGATGAAGAAGGAAAAAAATGATGTGATTAAAGGGGCTAAATTAAGGATCATTGTTTCATGGAGTAGGACTTATTTTTGTAACAAAATCTAATTTTTTTACGTAATCAGAATAGTATGTTGGGTATTGCTTGACATTTTATAATGTAGTCTGTCAGTCTAGTAAACATTCATCTTTCAGTCTCAGTTGCTGAACAAATTACTTTTAACTAAATAGCAGTTAACATAGGAAATTGAGTGCCAGCTCATTACTTTTTGTGTGTGTGTGAGAAACAAATTGGCCAGTGTGAACACACACTTTCACCTCTGGCCAACACAGTCCCACCCTGTCAGTACATTATACAAACATCAAATCACCATTTCTTTAATATTGTAGGCAGTCCTTTTATATGTTTACAAAGACTAGAGACTTTTTAGAAATAGTAAGAGGTTGTCAATTTCTATTCTGGACTTCACCAGAAAATTCACAAAAGCAACAAGGAGAACAAAATGCACACTTCTACCCAAACCCCATGTTAAGTAAGACTAAAAATACAGATAAATTACTTGGACAGAATAGCGGCAAAGGCACCTTAAGCAACTGAGGTCTGATAGAAAGAGGGGGAAATAGACATAGGTGTCATTACTAATGCTCATTGTATCAGAGCTTAGAATATGACAGAAAATTGTACTTCCCAAAGATGAAGGGCTATGTTTTGTGCCATAAAAATATAATTCTTAGCCACCTGTAAGACTAGCTACTCAGGAAGCCAAGATCTGAGGAATGAAGCAGTTCTAAGACGGCTTGGTCAGGAAAATCTATGAGACTTATCTCCAATTAACCACAAAAAAAGATGGAAGTGAAGGTGTAGCTCAAGCAAAAATCTCAGGATCAGCACCCAGGCCCTAAGTTCAACCTCCAGGACTGGAAAAAATAAAATAAAGCAAAAATAAATAAAACATAAAGATTAGAAGAAATTAGCAATGTCAAAATAGTTATGTCTATGGGCTGGGAAGGTGGCTCAGTGGTAGACCCGCTTGCCTTGCATGCCTGTGGCCCTGGGTTTGATTCCTCAGCACCACATAAGCAAAAAGAAAAAAGCCGGAAGTGGCGCTGTGGCTCAAGTGGTAGAGCGCTAGCCTTGAGCTGAAGAGCTGAGGGACAGCACTCAGGCCCAGAGTTCAGGCCCCACGATCGGACCCAAAAAAAAAAAAAAAAAATCAGCCAAAATAATTATGTCTATATGAAACGTAAATAACTAAGGAATACTTTTAAAGGAAGAGAATAAGATATTCAGAATGGCCAGCATTTAGATCTTTCTAGCTATTCAAGAATCTTTTGAGACCAAAGCAGAAAATCAAGTTCTTTATTAAAGGGCTAATTTTTTTTTTTTTTTTTTTTTTTTGTGGGTCGTGGGACTTGAACTCTGGGCCTGGGCACTGTCCCTCAGCTCTTCAGCTCAAGGCGAGCGCTCTACCACTTGAGCTACAGCGCCACTTCCGGTTTTCTGGTGGTTTATTGGAGATAGGAGTCTCATGGTCTCTCCTGCCCAGGCTGGATTTGAACCATGATCCTCAGATCTCAGCCTCCTGAGTAGCTAGGATTACAGGCGTGAGCCACCAGCGCCCGGCTTAAAGGGCTAAATTTGATTAACGTTAGTGACTTTGTTTTGTGTGTTTTGCTGTTGGTGGTGGTGGTGGAATTTTTTCCATTTTTCATTTGTTTGTTTTGCAGTACTCAAGTTTGAACTCAAGGTCTTGAGCATGCTCAGCTTGCTTGCTCAGCTGGCACTGTACCCCTTGCACGCCATGCCTCCAGTCTCAGCCTCCTTCATAGTTAGGTTTATAGATGTGAAACACCAATATCCGGCTTAGTAGCTGTTTTTTGTTGTTGTTATTTTGAGGCTTTTTGTTTTTGTTTTTGCTTTTTGGTCAATCTGGGCTTTGGCACTAGCCCTGAGCCCTTCAGCTCAAGGAGAGCACTCTACCACTTGAGCCATAGCACCACTTCAAGTTTTCTGAATGGTTAATTTGAGATAAGATTCTCATGGACTTTCCTGCGTAGCTTCCTGAGTAGCTAGGATTACAGGTATGAACCACTGGCACCTAGTGGCTTTTAACTAAACCTAACACGTACTTAATATGCACTTGATATACTTATCACTTATAGTTACTGATAATGGCACACTTCTGTTACTGGAGTTATTTAAGGAGATGAAGTTGAAGGATTTTTGTCCTAGATAAGCACCAACAAAAGTAAGAGACCTGCCTGGGCGCCGTAGGCTCGTGCCTGTAATCCTAGCTACTCAGGAGGCTGAGATCTGAGGATCTTATCTCTAATAAACCACTAGGGAAAAAAGACGGGAAGTGGCGCTGTGGCTCAAGTGGTAAAGTGCTCGCCTTGAGCTGAAGAGTGCAAGGACAGCACCCAAACCTAGAGTTCAAGCCCCACAACCAACAAAAAAAAAAAAAAAAAAAGAGACTTGTCTAAAAACAAACATAAACCAAAAGGACTAGGGTAATGATTCAAGGTCTTAAGTTCAATCCCTAATCTCTCCCTTTCCCTCCCTCTCTCCCTCCCTCCCTTCCCCGTCCCACCCTCACAAACACAGAATAGTTAGTTAGTTCTTCAATACAGTTAAAAAAAACTAATAGAGAAAGCAAGGGACAGTTTCTATAATGAAATTAATTTTGCTTTAGGAAAAGCAAAATGAGTTTTAAGAGAATAGATGGGAAATAAGAAACTTAGGATGGGAAGTGGCACTGTGGCTCAAGAGCACTTGCCTTGAGCTGAAGAGCTGAGGGACAGCACCCAGACTCAGAGTTCAAGCCCCATGACTGATTTAAAAAAAAAAAGAAAAGAAACTTAGGATGATGTTTTTGAGTGGTCTTTTCACCTTCTTGAGAACCATCAGACTCCTCAGAGTGTTTATGGTATCCTCATTTCCTGGGAATTACTGTACTTAGACACATAAGGAAAACTCCGAAATGAGTTGACCTGTATTTTAAATACTGCAGTTTAAAGTATTCTTGATGCAGCTCAAGTTCTTGAATTTACTCTTTAACCATAGTTTCCATTCTTTATGGAATGTCCTAAGTCTCAAATATTTTGTCTCAGTGTTCCTCAAGAATACTGTGACAACCTTCAAACTTTACCTCTCAATTCTTGGTCCAAGAAATATTATAGTACAATTGCTTTTTTTCTACCAAAGAAAGATTTTTTTTTAATTTTACTTTTGTGAACATATTTCAGTTACTTGTATTATTGCAAAATTATATAATGGAAAAAGTGAATTTATTGAATTTACTGAAGAAAATCAGAAATAAATTGATTTTTAGGCCAGTGATCATAAATCAATATCATCTTTCAAAGAGAGAAAAGTGTTTATATCTTACTGGTCTCACTTGTCAAAGGACCCTCAGCTACTGGGCAGATTCAGCAAAGCAAACTGCTAAGACTTACTGAGTGATTCAATGTTGGCTACAATTATCTGTTGAGCTGGTAGGAGGAGAGCAAAGAAAGAAAGCATGTACAAAAAGGTCATTTCCTATTAACTCAAAAAAAGAAAAAGAAAAAGCTCCTGAAACTAGTGATTACTGAAAGGAAAATGTAACCCAAGCAGAAAGTAACCCAGCAGACCACGCGGACAAGGTTAGAGGAAAAGATTTATTGCCAGCAGAGCAGACAAGGCCAAGTTCTCATGAGGAAAGGGAGAAAATGGTGCCATCTGCCCCTTGGAGGCCCCTTTTATACAGCTGGGGGCTGGTGGTGTTTAACCAGAGGCAGAAGGTGGGAGGGGCCTCACCTGCCCCACTGGAACTACCATCGAGGATGGGGCTTAGGCCCATGAAGGGGCATTTGCTTAGAGTTACATTAGAGAGGAAAGATGCTTGAAGATTTTTCTGCAAAGCACATATTTTTCCTACTTTGTGAACAATCACTTCCATACCAACACTGAATTCTCAGATTTGTTTTCCTTTTTTTTTTTTTTTTTTTTTTTTGCGGGGTGGGGGGTCCAGTCATGGGGCCTGAACTCTGGGCCTGGGTGCTGTCCCTCAGCTCTTCAGCTCAAGGCTAGCGCTCTACCACTCGAGCCACAGCACCACTTCTGGCTTTTTTTTCTTTTTGCTTATGTGGTGCTGAGGAATCGAACCTAGAACCTCATGCATGCAAGGCAAGCGCTTTACCATTGAGCCACCTTCCCAGCCCCTCAGATTTGTTTTTCTCTGTATCTGGTTTCCTAGGAAATCTAGGCTTTATCTGCATACCTAATTTCACCCCATCCTCATCACTTGACTTTCAGCTACAATTCTTCTAAAATGCTACATAAGAGTCCATATAATAATATATTGATACTTTATTGACCTGAACAGGACATTTACATAGAGCAGTATTTTAAAGGAGAAAGAGAAAGTGAAAATAATTGATCTGTGTCTCTTTCCCATTGGTCATGTTCTATGTTTATGAGAGTTTGTTGTAGTTTGAATTTTCTGTTTTGGTTTGTTATTTTATTGTTGGCTTTGTTTTTGTTTGGTTTTGGTTTATTTTTAGCCCCAGAGATTGAACCTAAGGCCTTGTGCATGCTAGACAATCACATTACCACTGAACTACATCCCTATATTACCACTGAACTACTTCCCCACCCCTTTTTTCATTTTCAGAAATGGATATGACATTGAGGTTGTCATTATTAGCTCTAATTTTCAAGTGACTAGAGTCTAGGAAAGTTGAAAATTGGCCATAATGATTCAATTCTTCAAGAGTTTCCCACCTTTGACTTAAATCTGAATTGCAAGGCCAGGAGTGGTGGCTTACTCCTCTAATCCTAGTTACTTTGAAGGCAGAGACAAGGGGATCAAAACTTTAGCCAGCCCTGGAAAAGGCACCAAACCCTATCTGAAAATCAATCTAAAGCAAAAAGGACTAGAAGCATGGTTCAAATGGTAGAGTGCTTATTAGTTCAAATCCCAGTATTACCAAAAAGTTAATAAAGTAATCTGAATTTCAGGGAGTTCTAATCCCCATCTCTTGATTTTTTTTTTTCATTATTACCAAAGGTAGAAGGGATAGAGGCTGGCTGCAGTGGATTAGAGGAAAGAGGTACCACTGAAAATTGAACCCAAGACCTCAATGTGTGTTAGGCAGGTACTTTACTGCTTGAGCTATACCCTAACCCAGACTAGTAGCACTGCTTTGCAAGACTTTGTCATCTCTTACACTCTCTTACACTGATTTTCAGTAGCAAATTCATAATAGTTTTTAGTCTCCTTTATTCCCATTTTCTTTCCTATGTGTTTCTTTCCTACCCTTTCTTTGACATAAAACAACCAACCCTGCCTTCTTACTCAAAATTGTTTTTCTTTCGGCCATTCATAAAATCCATTCTCTCAGAGTTCTTGCTTTCAACTTTAAAGCTTGTGTTTTATTAATGTATTCTTTATATAATACAAATGAATTTTTTTGTCTTCATAAGTAGAGATTGCATGTTTAGCAAGGATTTCTTCCAGTGTCTATAATCCTAGCTACTCAGGAAGCTGAGATCTTAGAATCACTGTTCAAAGACAGCGTGAGCAGAAAAATCCATCTTTTAATCTTACTCGTTGTATGTTACTACTTATATGCTTTTTAAACTCTAATTAGCCACCCAAAGAGCTAAAAGTAGAACTGTGACACTAGCCTTAAGGAAAAAAGCTCAGGGCAAGGTCAATGCCCAGACTCTGTGTTCTCAAACCCCAGGGCCAACACCAAAAAAAAAAAGGTTAAACTTAATTAGGGGAGTAGAGAGGCAGATGAAAAGGAGGAAAGTTTTAAAAATTAAAAAGGAACAAACAAATTTTCGCTTTCTACATACTCATAAATTTGGTCCTAAAGCCATTTGATGGAACAAATAATTTCTCTGCATTTTTGAGAAGTTAAGGAGTAGACAGATCCCAGTCAGGAAAGTGTAAACAGTGTTGGAACAGAAGATCATTTATATATGCAGATTTTTCAAATGAGTGTATATTTTAAGTCAGTGTTGTCCATGATTTTCACTGATGGAGATGTTACAAATACAGAAATGAATAATACTAAATATAAACCCTGTAATTTGGATTCAAATTAGAAAAATAGATATAAAGTCCTAGTTTTCAATTTATATAGATGTAAGCATATAGATCAATAGCTATATGTATACATATATGTGTGTATGTATATGTATGTGTGTGTATGTATATACAATTCACCTCAACAGCATTGAGCACACCTAGCACCCTTGGCTGGCTGGCTGGCTGGCTGGCTGGCTTGCTGGCTTGCTTGCTTGCTTGCCCCTCCCATCATGGGGCTTTAACTCAAGGTACTATCCCTGAACTCTTTTTGCTCAGGGATAGCTTAGAGCCACAGCTCCACTTCTGGCTTTCTAGTGGTTAATTGGAGATAAGAGTCTCATGGATTTTTCTGCCTGGGCTGGCTTTGAACCATGATCCTCAGATCTCAGCCTCTTGAGTAACTTGGATTACAGGTGAGAGCCCCCAGCACCCAGACCATGTCTTACCTTCTAAATACTGTTTATCCTCTAAAATTACTAATGGCTTTCTGGATAAATTATTAGGCTTAGGCAAGTAATGTCCTATGTCAGAAAACAAGGAAATTCTCAAGGAATGTTGAAACATTTCAAAAGGGCATAGATTCCAGGATGGAAGGAACTCCCCCTGGCTAAATGAGGAACATTTTCAGCCTCAAATGGTGATCATAATACCTGTAATTTTTGGGTTCAGAGATCCATTTTGTAAGCTTTGAAGTCTGTGCCTTCCCACAAAACAAACATCCCAAAAGAACCAAACAAAAGCATCATGGCCTCTTAATTTAACCTTGAAAATCATACAGGATCAGTTCTGCCACATTTCCTTCTTTACAAGGGAATCAAAAGACTAGCCTACATACAAAAGGAATTAGAATAATTCCAACTTGATTGGCAAGATAACATGGTTAAAATAATTTTCACTATTATTTATATAAAAGGCATATATAATTTGACACAAAATACGAAGAACAGAAATGAGATCAAACAACTTCATTCATATAAAAAGTTGTCACTTTAATTATCAAAAGGAAACCATTTCTAACCCTATATAGTATGTGAAATGTACCTACAAGAGATTTTTGTTTAAAAACAAGTGTTATATAGCTTTACCATAGAGAAAATGAGGCATATCTAAGTTTTACTAGACTGACCATTTTAATACTATTAAATAAAAAAAAAAAAGAGAGAAATGTGTATGTTACTGTTTAAAAAAGGAGAAATACAGCCCAGATATGAGGGGCTCCTACCTGTAATACTAGCTCCCCAGGAGGCTGAGATCTGAGGACCACAGTTCAAAGCCAGCTTGAGCAAACATCCACAAGACTCCTAGATCCAGTTTTCTAGCAAAAAGCTGGAACTAGACTCAAGTGGTAGAGCCATGTGTAAAGAAGCCAAGCAAGAACACAAAGCCCTAAAATTAAGACCCACTATACATATACACTCTCTCTCTCTCTCTCTCACACACACACACGAAGATACATGTGTTTGTGTGTACACATAATTACATATCATATACATGTATGTAATAAAGATAAAAGTATTTGCATGTTTATATCTACTCACATTGCTAAAAATGATAGGCCTTTTTTAAAATGTTTAAAAACAACAAGACCAAATAGGATAAGAAAGGATGGAAGTTGTGTTCTCTCTCTCTCTCTCTCTCTCTCTCTTTCTATCTCTCTCTCCCCCCCTCTCTCTCGCAGTCTACTACTTAAGCTACATCCCCAGCCCTTGCACTTTTTTTTTTTTTTTTTTTTTTTTTTTTTTTTGGTCGGTCCTGGGGCTTGAACTCTGGGCCTGGGCGCTGTCCCTCAGCTCTTCAGCTCAAGGCGAGCACTCTACCACTTGAGCTACAGCGCCACTTCCAGTTTTCTGGTGGTTTATTGGAGATAGGAGTCTCACAGTCTCTCCTGCCCGGGCTGGCTTTGAACCGCGATCCTCAGATCTCAGCCTCCTGAGTAGCTAGGATTACAGGCGTGAGCCACCAGCGCCCGGCTGCACTTTATTTTATATATTTAACTTTTGAACTATTTTACAAAAATTAAAAAACAACCTAAAAGTTGAAGTTGGAAATAAAAACAAATGAACCTGAATATATATTCACTTAGCATTAACACTCAAGGAAAACCTGTTTTGAGTGACGTGTATCCCTTGAGGACTATACTCTAAGGATAAAACACTAAGTGAAATAATTAACAGTTTTAAGTCATGAGAGGATGGTAGCAGCACTAATTTTGTTATTCATTGTTGTGAATGAATTCTTGTATAAAGCAAATCATTATACAATACTACAGTTCCATTTTGCTCATAACAAGATTCTTCATATTCAATAAAGCAGATACAAATGTAAAATTAAAAGCCTAATAGTATTGGTTTTTAATTAGAAGATCCAGTTTTAAACTCATGATACACTTTATCCTCATATCCATATCTCCCTTAATCTTACATTATCTTATAGACTTACATTTATGTATAAGCATAGCTATATCTTAATTGTACCAATACATAGTGAAGATAATTTTTCATTGATTGATTATTACTGAACCATAGTGGATATCCTGTAATCTGTTATATACTGCCCAATTTACTAATTAATTAATGTACTGTTTTTATTTACTTTAAAGGACAATAACTATCTTATTAGATATTAGTGTGAGTTTTGAAATGTTTCTGAGTTTATTAACAAATTGTTGTTTTGGTTAGTAATAGCATCTACAAAACTTGCGGAGAATGACAAAAGAGTACCTGAGCAAACTCATACTATTGTTATTGTCTTCTTAAATTGTATAGACTTGTAATTGTTATGTGCTAAAAGGCAAGGTTTATAAGAAAAACAGATTTGATATCACTTAATTGTGTGTAAATGAATTTATTATAGAGAAAAGTTGTGCATATTGGGCTGGGAAGGTGGCTCAGTGGTAGAGTGCTTGCCTTGCATGCCTGAGGCCCTGGGTTCAATTCCTCAGCACCACATAAGCAGAAAAAGCCGGAAGTGGTACTGTGGCTCAAGTGCTGGATGCTAGCCTTGAGCTGAAGAGCTGAGAGACAGCGCCCAGGCCCAGAGTTCAGGCCCCATGACCAGAAAAAACAACGTGCATATAAATATGTCATTTGAAAATTTTAGGAAATGCTTCAGGTGTTGATGTACAATAATTAAAATAATCTATCTTGAAAACCTTACTTAGCAGTTTGTTAAGGCATTTTTTAAAGGTTCATATTGGACAAATTATTATTTTGAGATTTTAGACATTTTATAGTTTTTATCTACAAGTAACAATTTTGGGACTATAATATTTGAATTTATTCCTCTTTCTCTTCCATCAGAGTACAGTCGTTTTGAAGCTAAAATACATGACTTGCGGGAACAGATGATGAACAGTAGCATTAGTTCAGGCTCGGGTTCTCTTCGAACCAGCCAGAAGCGATCCCTCTATGTCAGGTAAATTTTTTTACTTCTAATTATGGCCAATCTTTATTTATTTGTGCATGCAAATTGTGCCTAATTTTCACAATAGCTTGCTTAGTTTTGCTATAGAAAAATATAAATCTGTGATTTTTTTAATGGTTAATTTCCTGACAGTATATCTTTTAAGAGTTAAAATACTACAATTTTAATGGAAGTTTTATAACCCCTTAAATAATAGTGATATAATAAAGACAAAATAAAAATGGGCTAGGAATTTTTTTGATTGTTGCTTTAGTAGTAATTTAATTGATACATAATAGCATATGTGATAACATCAACTTTTCAGTTTATCTGTATCCTTTTACAACAGGATAGTCTCCATTTGAGTAACATTTAATTACCTATGACAAGTTTCCATAGTAGCCAAGAGAGCATAAGAAAGGTATAGTTTAAAATGTGAATAACCTCAGTCATACATGCATCTTTCAAACACTTTGAGAAAACAAATACTTTTCTAGACCATGTATGATTAATGTGCCAATAAAGATGCAATATTAAATATATACTAGTATCTAAACATTTTTCCATTGGCTAATAAGACTTAAACAGAAATCCCATTTACATTCTTTTTTTTTTGCCAGTCCTTGGGCTTGAACTCAAGGCCTGAGCACTGTCCCTGAGCTTCTGTTGCTCAAGGCTAGCGCTGTACCACTTGAGCCACAGTGCTACTTCTGGCTTTTTTTCTGTTTATATGGTACTGAGGAGCCAAACCCAGGGCTTCATGCATGCTAGGCAAGCACTCTACCACTAAGGCACATTCCCAGCACCCACCTACATTCCTTATGCTGTTTTTTTACTGAGGACGATATTATGCTATCATTCTAATGTTAGTTGCACTGTAAGTCATCTTGTTCATTAGTAAGTCTCTCATTTCTTCAGACCTTCCTAAATGTTTTATTCATATTTGGCAAATGATGGCATATGTTACATAAATAAGCATTTACTCTATATAAATGTTTGTGTGTTCATGTATCTATACATGCAAGCATGTACACTATAACTGAATGCATATTATACAGCTCTGCCCTCAAAAGGTTTTATTCTGATATATAATAAAAAGGGTTAGCCAGGCACCAGTGGATCATGCCTGTAATCCTAGCTGTTCAGGAAGCTGAGATCTGAGGATCACAGTTCAAAGCCAGCCTAAGCAGAAAAGAGACTCTTATCTCCAATTAACCACAAAAAAAAAAAAAGGAAAAAAAAGAAAAACAGAATTGGGAGCTGTGGCTCAAAGTATTAGAGCAGTATCCTTGAGCAAAAGAGCTCAGGGACAGTGCCCAGGCCCTGAGTTTAAGCCCCATGACCAACCAAAAAAATAAATCTTTTTACAAAAAGGGTTTTGTTTTTTGTTTTTGTTTTTTACTGCCTTCTGGCCTGTTCCTACTTACTTATTCTTTCTACCATCCTAATGAGATAAGAATCCTAAATATCAGATTTTTCTCTTCCTCCAATTCTTAAAATATTTACCTTAAGAACACTACTGTTCTGAAGTTACTCAGCATCTCTTATTTTTGCTTATCTGTATTTTCTAATTTTAGCATAATTAGTATTGCCTTTTTATGATTTAGTAATATTTAGGTATTAAAAAAAAAAAAAAAACTAAGCAAGGCACTGGTGGCTTACACCTGCAGTCCTACAAATTAGGAAGCTGAGATCTGAGCATCAAGGAGGCTCAGTGCCAGCCCAGGCAGGAAATCTGTGAAACTCTTATCTCCAATAGACCTCTAGAAAACTGGAAGTAGAACTGTGGCTCAAAGTAGTAGAACACTAGCCTTGAGTGTAAGTGCTCAGGGACAGTCCCCAGGTCCTGAACTCATGCTCTACAACTGAGTGGTAATAATAATAATTTAATTAAAAACTGAATTATATTTATTTTAGGTAAATTTAGTGAATCATCTTGTGTCAGTTTTTTATTGGCATATAATACTCTTATCTTAAGGAATATTTATTAAAGGGTTTATAATGAAAAATAACTGTCCCTTCCCACAAACCTCCACTTTCTGCATTTTCTAGAATATTCTCTTGTCTCTACCTCCAGTTTCTAAATAATAAACATATACTTGTATTTTCTACTTTCAATATTATGGATTTACTACTATGACAAATTTACTACTATGACAAATTTACTATTATGTCCCATACCACCTTTATTCTGCTTCTTTTCACTCAAATATAGCCCAGTTACTAGTAATAACATTAATAGTCTTTAGATTCATGTAACAATCATTTCTGTCAAGTGTCATATTACTAAGCTACTTCCTTCTGCATGCCTTCATTTTTCCTGGACTTGATAATTGTCTCATATTTTCATTTGCTTAACTTACCCAAATGCTTCCAGTACCTTCTCTAATATTTCACATTGTGAAACATGTGGTCACATATATACACAATCTTACCAGCTGTTGGGGGTTATTGTTACTAGTTTGTGGGGGTGAGAAGACTTTGGGGGAAGGAATTGATTTTAATTTTTGTACCCCATGCTAGACTAGCTGCTGTTAGACATTCTGAATATCTCCAGATGGGACTTCACTTTTTTCTTATCCTATTCTCTGCTCTCTACATGGTCAGAATCTATTTCCTAGATATCACTTTCTCTTCTTTCTCAGTTGGCTTATTTTGCGAGGTTACATACTCCAGAAAGTGGGTACTTTGTTTTGTCTGTATGATTAGTTGGTATTTTTGTTATTGTTTATTTTTTAAGTCTAGCATATCTGAAAACTTTGTAGTACCTTCAGGATAAAGAAGGAAGGAGTCCTATTTTATTTTTTTATAAGCATTCCTTCTTACAGTTGTTTCTTTTTTCTCATCTCTTATTTCATAGATAAAATGTCATTTCATCTTTCTTTGAAGTTTTGTGTTTCTTGCTTTCAGGGCTTCTTCCCCTCACCCCACCTCCACCCCACCCCCCACCCCCGCTCCCGGTTATGGGGATTGAACTCTGGGCCTGGGCACTGTCCCTCAGCTCTTCAGCTCAAGGCTAGCGCTTTATACTTGAGCCACAGCTCCACTTCCAGTTTTCTCGTGGTTTATCTTAGCTAAGAGTGTCACAGACTATCCTGCCCGGGCTGGCTTTGAACCATGATCCTCAGATTTTAGCCACTGATGCCCAGCAACATCTGGGAGGGAAGAAGGGAGAAAGGGAGAGAGGGAGGGAGGGAAGGAAAGAAAAGAAAAGAAAAAGAGAAGAAAGAGTAAGCAAGCTAGCTCAGAGTTTAGGCCCTGAGTTTAAGCTCTAGGACACACATGCGCACACACACACACACAGGTGCACACACACACACAGGTTGGGGGTAATGCTACAAAAGACTACATATGATACTTTTTTCTTTGCTGGCCCTGGTGCTTGAACTCGGGGCCAGGGCTCTGTCCCTGAACCACTCTGTGCATAAGGCTAGCAATCTGGTTACCACTTGGGCCTAGCAATCTACCACTTGGGCCATAGTGCCACTTCCCGCTTTTTCTGAGTAGTTCATTGGCGATAAGAGTCCTGCAGACTTCTGACTGGGCTGGCTTTGAACTTCAGTCCTCTGAAATCAGCTTCCTGAGTAGCTAGGATTACAAACTTGAGCCACCAGTGTCCAGAAATACTTTTTTTATAAAGCTCTGAAACAAACTATTCTATTGTTTAAGTCATTTATATACATACAGTAAATCCAAACCAACAAAAATGGGAATATAGTCAAGCACATAATAAACATAGAATTTTAAATGATGATTGCCTTTTAATAGTGATTAACTCTTGATCCCAAGAAAACAGGATTAGGGGAAAATACATTAGTGAATATGAGTTTTGTATGTGGTCTTTAGTTGGATAGGGTGTTAACAGGTGTTCATTATGGTTGATGAATTATACTAGAATTTGTGGGTAACTTAAATTCTTTTTATCAATTGTTCATTTACAATAGTAGTTTTTGGTAATGCAAAAGGTGAAGTTAAAATCATAGTTTTTGGTAATACAAAAGGTGAAGTTAAAATCAATGTCAAGATATTTTACCTTGATTTACTATGTCTTTTGACATTTGTTCTACCTTCTAAATGCTTTAATTTCCTTTTATATTATTTACTTATGTACATATTTTAATACATGATTAATAATCCCCATTTTTCATTTCTACTCTCTTCTTACACCATTAGCCTTAAAAGTACTTTAAAGAACATTATGAGTTACTAGTTCAAGTAGTAAAAGCACCTTTTAGCAAGTACAGTCTCCTACCTGTACTGCTTAAGTAAAAGAATAACAACAAATTTGAAAAACATTAACCTTCAATACATTTATTTTTCTCAGATAATTCTACCTCTCTTGAGTTTTACCTCAAGAGAAAAGTTGGATATCACAGAAAAGTTTAGGTGTGATTCAGTGATGGAGTGGCTCATCAAGCAAGCACAAAGCCTTGTTTCAGTGTCTAGCACCATATAAAGAAGGAAGAAGAGGAAAAAAATAAGATATTGGGGAACATGAAAAAGAACATTGATAAATAATATTTAAAAATTGCTAAGGCCCTTTCTGTACTTTTTGCTTTGTTTATTTGCTTACAATTCTAGGGGATCACACTTAGGGCCTTGACTATACTAGGCAAATGGTTTACCACTGAGCTATACCTTCCAAGCTCAGTTTACCTCACTGTAATGTTATTATATACTTTTTTTCCTGGTGCTGAGCATCAAACGCAGCATCTTGTACATGCTAGTTAAGTACTCTACTATACACCCATAGCTCTTTCTTGAACTCTTAAAAGCTTAATTAGGATTTAAGAGTTTCATTTGTTTATGTAATTAGGTAATTAATGACATAGTAGGGCAGAGCAGATATCTTTATCGAAATTTTAAATATTAACATTTTTCAATTGTCAATAAAGTATCTTTTCCAAAATATGTGGCAGCTAGTAAAATATCTATAGTTTTTGTTATTTTTTTTGTTTTGTTTTTTTGTTGGTCATGGGGATTGAACTCTGGGCCTGGGCGCTGTCCCTGAGCTCTTCAGCTCAATATAGTTTGTATTTATTGACAATGACTGAATATTCTGTCAATTCTGGATTTATAAACAAATAGGAAGAGTAATGAATTGACAGAATAATCATATTCATCTAATCAATTGACAAGTAATGAATCCAGAGAATTTTTTTCCAAGTGTTTAGTAAAAGTAGACAATATCTTTTAATTTTGTTTATTTGGAATAACTCTTTTGATATGTCTTCAACTTAAGAATGCAGACCCAGTGGCATTGGCTCATACCTTAATCCCAGCTACTTAGGAGATGAACAGGAGAATTGTGGTTAGAGGTCAGCCCCAGCCAAAAGTTAGTGAGTTCCCATCTGGTATATTTATTACCCTAGTTGTACAGAAAGTATCAATAGTAAGATCACATTCCCAGGCCAGCCCAGGGCACTGTCTGAAAAATAGCTAAAGCATAAAAGAGCTGAGAGCATGCCTCAAGTATTCAAGCACCAATATAGCAAGGAAGGAAGAAGAAAGGGAAGAGGAGCAGAGGGGTAACTGGAAGGGTGATTCAATGCTAGTTGTCACTGAATTATACTTAAAGCAGTTTTGTAATTTTGTTGCTGATGTTTTTTTGAGATGGAGTCTTGCTTTGTTTCAAAGGCTGACGCAGAACTCCTAGACCCAAGTAAATCTTAACTTCCCAAATAATTAGAATTGCAGGCATGTCCTCTCACACTCAGAAACATATATACAATTTTCTTATATATATTTTCAGATCTGATTTAATCATTAGAATCATTGTATAGTATTATTATTAGTAGTCCCATTTAATAGATAAGAACTAAGACTAAGGAGAACCAAATAAACTGCCCATAATAAAGCAATCTAATATAGAAACAAAATGCTCCAGTAAATAGTGGATCTAAAACGCACAGTAATCTCATTCTATATTTATTCATGTTAATTATGTGTCCCATTACTGTCTAGTAGAAGCATAAGTCACATCATTTTTAACTTTCTAGGTGTCACATTTAAAACGTAAAAGGAAGCTAGGCATTGTAGCTAACGCCTGCAATTCTAGCTACTTGGGAGATAGATAAGGAGGTTTGTGGTATGAGGACAACCCACACCAAAAGTTCAGAAGGTGCGCACGCAGGCGCGCGCACACACACACACACACACACACGTGTCTCGGCCAATACAAGCTAGCTATGTGGGGCATGCCTATCATCCCTGTTGCATGGGAAGTGTAAATAATAGTATAGCAATCCAGGCCAACCTGGACATAGATGTAAATGCTTTATTTGAAAAACAGTGAAAGCAAAAAGGGCTGAGGATATGGTTCAAGTGGGAGAGACCCTGCCTAACAAGTGCAAATTCCAATACCACCTGTAATTTTCAGGAGACAGAAAGATTGTGAGTTCAAAGCCAGCAGGGGCTACATAGCAAGAACCTAATTGAAAGGAAAAACTAAAAAAGGAAAAGAAGAACAATTTCTTCTAAAGAGAAATGGGTTGGTAATACACTAAAAACAAACTTCTAACAGGTTGATTGTGCTATTTTTTTCTCATTTGCTTGTGTGTATGTGTGTGTTCAAAATTGAACTTGGTATTATTCTACCAAAGAGTACTGATTTTGTCTATCCAAATACATATAGTTTTAGAGTCCTATGTTTAAAATGTTCACTACCACTATAATAATTATTAACATTTTTTTCTTCTGTTTCTAGAGCCCTTTTTGATTATGACAAGACTAAAGACAGTGGCCTTCCTAGTCAAGGATTGAATTTCAAATTTGGAGATATTCTCCATGTTATAAATGCTTCCGATGATGAGTGGTGGCAAGCCAGACAGGTTACACCAGATGGTGAAAGTGATGAAGTTGGAGTGATTCCTAGTAAACGCAGGTAAATTGTTTTTTGGGTTTTTTTACCCACCTCAAAACAGGCTTTGAATAACATAGATTATTGTTTCTCTTACTATGTAACAGGGATATACTAGAAGAACGTTATCCTGAGTGAAACTAAAGTCAAATATTGTGTGATCTCCCTTCCATGTGAAATCTAAAATAGTCAAACCAAATCAGAATGTACAAAGGTAGTTACCAAGGGTCTAGGAAGAAGAATGTGAAGATTATATCAGAGATACAAACTTTCAGTTGTACAAAATAATGAATTTTAGAATTTATTATATAGCATGATGAGGACAATGTTTTACTTGGAATTTTCTGATAAAGTAGATTCTTATCAGAAACAAAGCATAAAACTGTAGTATGGATGTGTTAGTTTGATTGTAGTGATTATTTCTCTATACATGCATAGCAGATCAAATTATATACTTCAGGAAACCAGTCCTAGTGGATCATGACTATACTCCAGCCATCTTGGAAGACAGGCAGGGTAATCATGACTTTAAGTACAGCTGGAACAAAGTTAGCAAGACTTAGCTCAAAAAAAAAAACAAGTTGTTTGAAACAGTCTCACTGTGTAGCCCAGGCCTATTTAGAACTTGCAGTTCTTCTGTCTTCACTTTCTTATTGCTAAAACTGCTGTGCAGGGCTGGAAATGTGGCTTAGTGGTAGAGAGCTTGCCTCGCATGCATGAAGCCCTTGGTTCAATTCCTCAGTACCACATAAACAGAAAACGCTGGAAATAGCATTGTGTCTCAAATGGTAAACTAATAGCCTTGAGCAAAGAAGTTTAGGGACAGTGCCCAGGCCCTGAGTTCAAGCCCCAGGACTGGCAAAAAACAAAAACAACAATAACAACAAAACAAAAACTGTGGTGTACACTGCCCAGCCTTGCTACCTGAGGGTTTTGAATTTAATACACACACACACACACACACACTCACACTCACACTCACACTCTACTTCCTCTGACTTAAAACAGAATGGAAATGGATGCTTTTTTAGGGCCAGTCACAGTGACTCACTTTTCTGATCTTAGCTATCTTGCAGATGCAAGTGGGAAAGGTGTAGTCCCAAGCCACCACAAAGCAAGACTCTATCTACAAAATAACCTAAAGTAGTATACCAGGCACTACTGGCTCAGTTCTGTAATCCTAAATTTCTCAGAAGGCAGAGATTGAGAAAAATCCCAATTTGAAGACAGCCTGAACATACACACATGACCTCTTCTCATCCAATAGCTAGTTGAACTAGTACATACCTGTTGTCCATGTTGTGAGAGAAATGGAGATTGAAAGGATCATAGTTCCAGGCCAATTCAGAGACTCCTTTCAACAGAAAAAAGATGGGTGTGATGGTACATTCTGTCATTTCAACTACATGGGAACATGGGATGCATATTAGGATCACAAGCCAGGCCAGCCCAGGCAAAAAGCAGAACTCTTACCTCAAAAACAAATAGAGCAAAAAGGACGAGGAGTGTGGCTCAAATGGCAAGTAAGTCACTTCTTAGTAAAACACAAGCCTTGAATTCAGCCCCCTATACCACCAAGAAAAAAATAACCTGAAGTGAAAAGAGGTTTAGCTTGCTTAATGGCAGAGCACTTACTTACCTAGCAAGTGTAAATCCTTGAGTCAAACCTCTATACTGCAAGTAGAAAAAGCAGGGGGGAGGGGGGGGGAGTAGTGGAGGAGGGAGAATCCATTAGTATGCCTCACATCTCTTTCAGAACATGTAAGGTCTCCTCCACAGGACCATCTTCCTGTGCTGATAATTTTGTATGAGCCTTGAATGATGTTATAATCACTAGGTGGCCCTTGACAAGGAGAAAAGCTCCCACCCCTGAATGCAGTGTTGATTTTTGGTGGTGTTGGTTGGTTGGTTGGTTGGCTGGTTGGTTGGCTGGTTGGTTGGTTAGTTGGTTTGGGGGTGGGGGTTGTTGGTTTGGTTTGGTTTGGTTTTTTGCAATACTGGGTTAGTCTAAAGGACTCAAACATTTCAGTGATTCATAACTGCGTGCTTAAAGTTCTTAGATGCAGGCTGACTTTGAAAAGGATCCTCCCAGTCTCTGAATGTTGTCTAATTTTGTAAAAGGGAAGACAGTTCCTAAGCCTGACACTTACTTCAGGAGATTAAATACATCCTAATTATTGCCTAAATGTCTTTTTGTAAGGCCTTTTCAAAGTTTTTTTGTTTTTTGCTAGCTCTGGGATACTGTCCCTGGGCTTCTTTGCTCAAAGATAGCATTCTACCACTTGAGCCACAGTGACACTTCCAGCTTTTTCTGTTTATGTGGTGCTGAGGAATTGAACCCAAGGCTTCATGCATGCTATGCAAGCACTCTACCACTAAGCCACAGTCCCAGCCCTCAGTTTTAATATAAGCAGCAAAAATGGTTAATGTGATTGTAATGTTTATTTTAGGAAATTCATTTATTTGAGGTCAAATTTGATGGAGCAAACATGTTCTGAATGAGTTAACTTTATTTTTATTTTGTTGAACTCATTGTAATTGATAAGTATACCAAGTCATGTAACTATATATAAGGAGATATACAAATGAGAAGTGATATTTTGTTTTTGCTTTTTTTGTTTGCTTTACATTGCTAAGGATCAAACCCAGAGCTTCATGTGTTAAAATATTGCCAAGCTTTGTGATTATGGTCTGGACATTGATAACTTTTGTTGCTAGATAGAGCCACATACTTGGCAAGATAGAACTATTGTACAATCACATATCTGATGGCAAATCCTCTTTTAGCAATGCAGTTCTTCTCATAGCCTGTTTCCTAGAATAGACAGCTGCTTAAAATTCAGGAATACTTCTTGAGTTAGTAGAAACTTCATATCTTAAATATAAAGGTCAGAGTTCCTAAAAATTGTCATATCCCACAGAGATATCTGGTAGAGGTTTTACATGTCCTTTGAACCAATGAAAAATATTGCTAACTTAAATAGCTAAAAAGGGAGTTACCATGAAAGATATAACTTAGGACCTCTGTCAGCCCCCTAATTCATGAGAAACATTACAGAATATCCTTTTTCTCATAAAATAGAAATATACTACAAATTATGCCAGTTTGTTCTTAAATGTTTTGGGGGCCTTTGTTTTGTTGGGCAGGGGGTAGGAGGGTAGGAGGTTATTTGTTTTGGTGTTGGTCTTTGGGCTTGAACTCAGGGCCTGAGCACATCTCTCAACTTTTTTGTTCAAGGCTAGCCCTCTACCACTAGAAGCACAGCTCCACTTTCATCTTTTTTGGTGGTTAAGTGATGATAAAGGGACTCACAGACTTTCCTGAGGATCACCATGATTCTCAAATCTCAGTCTCCTGAGTAATTAGGATTACAAGAAAGAGACACTGGTGCCCAGCTCTAAAGTGTATTTGAAACTTGTTTCCTTGAATAAAACAATCTCCTCGTTAGACCTCTGTTTATAATAGAAGCATGAAGAATTTTAAGTCCTACAATTCTGTATTTTCTTTCAAGGGTAATATTTACATATGAATACCATACGTCATTTAACTATTTCTGAACAAGATAATGATTAAAAAACAAAGACTTTTTGAAACAAAAGACATTTGAAAGTCATTCAGAAAACAAAGCCATACTCACTAAATGCTAGTTCTATGGATACCCTCGATAAGTACATAGACGAGCTTATTATACATTTTTATGTAGCACTAAAAAAAAAAAAAGATTTGGTTTGGGAAAAGGTTTGATTTGGTTTTCTTTGTTTTCAGGGAGACTTCGGGATTTTTGCTTTTTCTTTTTTTTTTTTTTTTTTTTTTGGTAGTGGGGCTTAAACTCTTGAGCTTGAACTCTTCAGCTGAAGGCTAGTGCTCTACCACTTGAGCCACAGCGCCCCTGGTTTTCTGGTGGTTTATTGGAGATAAGAGTCTCACTGAGTTTCCTGCCCAGGCTGGCTTTGAATCACGATCTTCAGATCTCAGCCTCCTGACTAGCTAGAATTACAGGCGTGAGGGCTTGACTTTTGGGGTTTGGGGAATACTGAGGTTTCACCTCAGGGCCTCATGCTTTCGTAGGCTTTCTGAACTATACTAATAGTATTGCAAGTTGAAATCAAGGTTTATAAAGAGCTCATTTTACATTAGACTTTTCAAGATTCATACTAATGCTATACTTCATATGAAATTTTATTTTCTTGCCAGATTTTGTTACAGTTTTATCTGTTTAGATGTTTAAGTAACACTTTGTAAACAAGGGTCAAAAAGACACCCATCTCACATTCAAAAAGATAAGGAAGGCTCCTTCCAAACTCCCAAGACACTTTATTTACTATATTACACATTTACACATACTTGTCATTGTAGTTAAGCTTTTTATTTCCTAACCTTTTTTTCACCTTTCAGTGCTACAGAAACAAAGGAGTTCAGGAATAATGCAGTGAACATTCATGTATCTTTTACCTATTTTCACCAGTTGTTAAAATTTTCCATATTTGCTTTGTCTCTCAAGCTTCATTTTTATCATCCTATGGTATGCCTAGGTGACTATTTAAACAACAACAACAAAAAAACTTGGGTATAAGAAAGTTGGAAAGGGCTGGGAAGGTGGCTCAGTGGTAGAGCGCTTGCCTTGCATGCATGAGGCCCTGGGTTCAATTCCTCAGCACCACATAAGCAGAAAAAAAAAAAAGCCGGAAGTAGCGCTGTGGCTCAAGTGGTAGAGCGCTAGCCTTGAGCTGAAGAGCTGAGGGACAGCGCCCAGGCCCAGAGTACAGGCCCCACGACCGGACCCAAAAAAAAAAAAGACAGTTGGAAAATAAATAAACTTGGAAATGATGCCTTACAATACTTTCAGTGGAATTATGAAATAGGGTACATATGTAAGTATTACATATGTGTTGTAGTTTGGTGCCTTGCAAAAAGTTTGTATTTCATATTAAAAATGAGCCCTATAGTCTATTTTTCAACAAGTTTAGTTAATTTTAGAATGCAAACCTAGGTGGCTTCTAAATGTCTTTGAAATGTCACAAGACTCCTTTTTTACTCCTAGCTGGACACAGTTGTTTATGGTTGTCATCTCAAGCTGTGTGGGAAGCTGAGATTGGAAGGAATGGTCTTTTAAGCCAGCCAGGCAGAAAAATTGGGAGCCTCCATCTCCCTGGAGTGTTCCTGTGATTCTAGACACAATGGAAAGCATAAAGTAGATGGATCAAAGCTCATATATGAGCCCACACTGGAAACTTATCTCAAAAATAACCAAAAAAAAGGACTGAAAGAGTGGATCAAGTGGTAGAATCCCAGCCTAGCAAGCATGAACCCCTGAGCTGACCCCTGAGTACCACAAATTTGAAAAACATTTCTAACCCAGGAGGCTAGCTGTGCTGATAAATCTCAGATACTCAGGAGAATTCAAGAACAGCCTAAGCAACATCGCAAGACTCTAGCTTTAAAAAGGGAGATTTTATATATATATATATATATATATATATATATATATATATATATATATTATATATAGCTCAATAGTAGAAGAAATTCTTAGGCCTCAGTTCCATCTCTGGCACCAAAATAAATAAGTAATCTTCTGTATTTTGGCAGAGTTGAGAAGAAAGAAAGAGCCCGGTTAAAAACAGTAAAATTCAATTCCAAAACAAGAGGAGATAAAGGGGTGAGTATATGGTATCTCTTATTTCTGGAAATCAGTAATTAAGGATAATAGGCTTTCAAAACTCATTTGAACCACATTGAAAATTTTGCCATAATTAATTATAAATAGTTCTTGCCAAGTACTTGTTATTATAAGAAGCATTTATTAAAATCAAGTACCTATTTTTCAGCCCTTTCCAAATTATCAAAGTTATCATTTGATATGCTCTTAGCAACATACTTTTGTTCAAGATTATTTTTAAAAATAAAATGGACTCAGTCTTCATTCAGATGTTCAGTTAGAGGACTTGTAGCCAGAGGTCAGTATATGCCTTTAATCCTAGCACTAAAGAGGCAGAGGTGGGCTGGGAATATGGCTTGGTGGTAGTCCTTGACTAGCATGCATGAAGCCCTGGGTTTGATTCCTCCATACCACGTACACAGAAAAAGCTGAAAGTGTCACTGTGGCTCAAATGGTAGAGTGCTAGCCTTGAGCAAAAAGAAGCTCAGGGTCAGTGCCCAGGCCTTGAGTTCAAGCCCCAGGACTTCCAAAATAAATAAATAAATAAAGAGGCAGAGGTGAGAGGATGAAGAGTTCAGACCAGCCTGATCTACAACTCAGACTATGTCTCAAATAAAAAGTGACCAAGGAAGGGGGAATTGTCTGATCAATATAAATTGGGAAAGCTCTAGTATAATAGTGATTAGTCCAGCCTGTTGGCTTTCTAAACCTATAATCCTAGCTACTCAGGAGGCAGAGATCAAGAAGATTATAAATAATTAAGATCATTGGGACAAGCCGGGCACCAGTCACTCAAGCCTGTAATCCTAGGTACTTAGGAGGCTGAGATCTGAGGATCACGGTTCAAAGCCAGCCCAGGCAGGAAAGTCTGTGAGACTTTTATCTCCAATTAACCACTCAGAAAACTGGAAGTGGCCCTGTGGCTCAAGTAATAGAGCGCTTGCCTTGAGCTGAAATGCTGAGGGACAGCACCCAGGCTCAGAGTTCAAGCCCCATGAGCAAAAAAAAAAAAAAAAAAAATCATTGGGATAAAAAGTTAGCAAGACACCTTGTATCAATCAGTAAGCTAAATGTGGTAGTACATACCTGTGATTTCGGCCATGCAAGGGGCATAAAGAGAAGAATCACACTTCAGGCTAGCCTGGACAAAAAAAAAAGTGAGACTCTCTTCAAAAAAAATAACTAAAGGTAAAGGGTCTGGGACATAATTCAAGTGGTAGAACCTGCTTAGCAAGCACAAGGCCCTGAGTTCAAACCCCAGTGCTACAAAATGCAATAATGATGATGATAATGACTCTATATGATAGGTCCCATCAAAATGTGAACTAATTGCAGTTTTTAGGCCAGTCTGGACAGAAAAAAGTCCTTCTCAATGAAGAGTTCTCAAAGAAGCACAACTTGTTACCCCTAGTTAAAAGACAGTCTGATATAAATGGATAGCACCCAGGTATACACCTGAGCAAAAACTGAGATCTCACCTCAATTTAGCAAGGAAAAAAATTGAGGCTCGACTTATAAGACCCTAAATTCAAAACCCACTACCACCCCCCATAAAAGTGTGTGTGTGTGTGTGTGTGTGTGTGTGTGTGTGTGTGTGTGTGTGTGTGTGTGTGTGTGTGTGTGTGTGTGTGTGTGTGTGTGTGTGTGTGTGTGTGTGTGTTAAGCTTGCAGATTAACTCATGAAGATTTCCCCTATTCTGTGCACTCTTCATTCCAGAAATGATTTCTTATATAATCAATGTTTTAAATGTTGGAATGAACAGAAGGCGTTATTTGGAAGGAGTAAGGAATCTGATAGTCAAAGAAATTTGGAGATGGTCAAAATATAACAAAATTCTTTCATATATATTTTAGATGTGTATTTTTTTATTTTCTCAGCTTAAATGTAAAACTTTGAGTTGTCAATAGACAAGCAAGATAGCACAGACTTCAGTTGTACTATATATATAATTGCTAATTATTCTGAACTCACTGCAGTAGAATATTCTCTAAAACAGCCTGAAAAAAAGAGCTGAGCACATGTTATATTGAAATATTTTTCCTGGCAATGTTTATGTCTTGTGGTTTTTTTAATCTGAAGCAAAACTTTGTAAATGTTTTGTTCATAGAAGTGAAATAATAATCATAAATTTTGAAATAAATGAAATTTTAACTCAGCAAACAAATTAACTGTTCTCTGAACATCTCTGGTACTACAAAGAATGAAACCTAAAGCTTTAAATTTTAAAAGAAAATATATCTTTAATATGAAATTAAATCTTAGTAAATTGTATAATATTAAATTTCAGAAGTGTTAAAATACGAAAGTAAGGTGAGCACAATAGTTCATGTAATCCTAGCTACTCAGGAGCCTGAGATCTGAAGATCTTGGTTTAAAGTCAGCCCAAACAGAAAATTTCATGAGCCTCTCCTCCAATTAACTACCAGCAAGTGGAGCTTTGGCTCAAGTTCAGAGCACCAGTCTTGAATAAAAAAAGCTAAGGGACAACACCCAGGTCAAGCCCCAATACCAACACACACACAAAAAAAGAAAAGTCAGAATAGTATGATCTAAAGCAATATTAAAGAAATTTGTATTGTAAGGAAAATTCCTAGTAAGTGCTCAGGTTTTGAAATAAGTACAATGAAGTAATACTGTATGTATATCTTTAAAAAATAATTTAATGTACAATAAGCTGTCGGAGGTTGCATGTTGTAACTTATCTTTCATCCTATACAAATTTAACTGAATTAACGATATGTTTAAATCTCAGTCTTGTTTGTTTACTGTAACCACTTGATATACAATCACTGTGTTCTAACACAGCACCAAAAGTATGCATGGTACTGAGTGGGGTAAAAATACGCTTGCCATTGATACAGAACTGCATTTCTTTCTATAACACCATTTCCTCTTCTTCCTTACCCTTTCTTACATGGTGATTTGTGCACTTTTTTTACTATAGACTTAAAATATTTCAGTTTCTCATTAACGTCTTAATATTCATCTATTTTGAAAGCTACATATAAAAATCATATATTTAGATATTTAATCATGTGTTTTAAATTTAGTATTTTATCTCTTTATTGCACTCTCACAATATGGCATTAATGAGAATTAAGTAACTAATCATAGTATTTTTATTGACTATATAGAAAAACTGGAGGAAGCATGCCTCTTCAGTTTTGTGTTTCCCCTACACATTTTTGTCTTGTTTGCTTGTGCTGCTTTTATTTGCAGTTTTAATAAATTCTTCACCTAGAGAATGTTAAACATAGTACAATTAGTTTCATAACTAACAAGCATTTCTTACTGTCCTCTGCTATGATATCTTTATGATATCTCATTTTGGCTAACTGCAAAATATCAAGAATCAGAACATTTTAAACTTCATGTTTCTTTTGGTTATATGGTGTGAAACTGACTCTGACCACTCTATATGCAGTTAAATAGAGTAAATAAACTTTCATTTCAAATGTCCATTTCATTAGATACAAAAATTACTACTAAACTGTAAACCAATGATGCTTATGAACAAAAAGATTTAGAACATTCCTAAATTAAGTTTTCATAAGTTTTTGTTTACTCGGCCTTAAATTTCCTTTGTTCTAAAATTTGGATTCAGCTAAATAATGCTACTTGACATTGTGAAATAATTATAAACCCTCATTTCTCCACAATATTTCTTTCTTTCATAGAAATTTTAACTTCTGCTTAGAGCTTTTTTATCTCATTTCTTAAAGCCTTCCAAATTTTATATTGAAATCAAGACAGTCTTATTTGGCTAATGAATGAAGTGTATATTATTCCTGAATTGTTGATAAGAAAAGGTAAAAATGAAAGTTTAACCTTGTTCTATAATCTTCTCAGAGTAGATCCTCTTGAGTCACAAAATCAGAGCTAAAAGTCACTTTAATCACCAGCATCAAATGCTTAAAAAAGCAAGAACAGCCAGGCGCCGGCAGCTGAAACCTGTAATCCTAGCTACTCAGGAGGCTGAGATCTGAGGATCACGGTTCAAAGCCAGCCCAGGCAGGAAAGTCCTTGAGACTCTTATCTCCAATAAACCACCAGAAAACCAGAAATGGTGCTGTGGCTTAAGTGGTAGAGTGCTCAGCTTGAGCTGAAGACCTGAGGGACAGCGCCCAGGCCCAGAATTGAAGCCCCATAACCAACAAAAGAAAAAGCATAACAAAAACATATGTCTGATGTCATATATAACAAAATTAATATACATAGTATTGTTCCCTTTATCTGAGAAAAATCAATTTCAGGACATTCACTGGATGCCTAAACCATGGATATTATTCAAACCATACATTCACCTTTCCCCAAAGTTACATACCTGTAATAAAGTGCAATTTGTGATAGGTACAATTACAGATTAATAATAACATGATAAACTAGAATAATTATAACAATATACTGCAATAATACTGCTGGTATTGGTACTTTACTGCTTTGGGGCTACTATTAAGTACAATGAGAGGTGATAGTTGGAACGACACAGAAAAGATTAACATGGCCCCTACACAGGATGACACACAAATTTGTCAAGTGTTCTATATTTTTAAATTTTGTTCAGATAACTACATAACCTGGAAAGGTTGTTGCTGTTATTGATTAATAACATACTGATAGTATTAGTCTTTTATATAAACATAATATATACATATAAATAATTTGAATTCTTGAAAACTATAAACTGTGCTGTCAACTTTGGAAAAAGTATCCCAGTCTACTGTGTTGAGTTGGCATTATGCAGAAATTAATAGCCATATTGTTCTAGAAATGTTATATTTAATTTTTTTTCCATGTGTACAGGGGTAAACACATATTGAATATGTAAGTTTTTACCTATGTGGGTTTGATTATAAAAACTGATAAAGTATTCTCTAAATAATGAAGAAAAGTAAAATAAGGGCTACTTGAACACAATCACATTGATGCCAAACATGCTGTCTAGTAACCAAGATAGCTATTAAATCACTAACAAGTGAGTAGGGTACACTGGGTGAATACAGTGGATAGAAAGAAGGAGGTTGCACATCCTGTACCAGCTGGACAGCAGGAGATTTCATCATACTACCGATTTCATCATATTTAACAATATTCAATTAAAAATTAGGAATTATTTCTGGAATTTTTAGTTGAAAAATAGGTTTCAGTTCAGCATGTCAATTTATGAGTACAATGCATATTGATCAGTGTCATCCTGGAATATTTTATTTAACATTTTCAGACCACAGTTTAACCCAGAGTGTAACTGAAACCCCAGAAAGCAAAAGTACAGATAAAGAATAGTCAGTTATAATGTCTTAAGACATAGATAAACTCAAAAAATCAGGACAAAATGTCTGTCATCGCAAGGCTTGGATTTGATCCCCAGTATTAAACACACACACACACACACACACACACTTTATAAAATAAAAGTGGTCATCGCCAGTGTCCCTGTTAGGTAGATTGTTTCCTTTTAAACAGGAAAAGTTAACAGAAAGCTAGTTAATTTCTCTTTAACCAATTACAGAAACTGTTCCTCTTTAATAGCCTCGTTCTTCTTTGTGCTTCATGGTCTTAAATCTGTGATGGCACACCTCAAAGGAGAAAAAACTTCTCTAGCATCTATACAGTGAGGGACATCAAATCAGCTACTTAGTTCCTTCATGGTAACTAAGTATAAATGATTAGAATCTTAATTTCTAGTAGCTTTTGTTCTATATATAGGATATGGTGCCAATGGACTGGATATGGTTCTGTTTTCTTTTAAAGTACATAAGTACAATGCAGCTTAGAAACAAGTAAATTAATTGTAATAGTATTCAAGTTGGCCAAAAGACTTTTGACCCCTCTTTAACCAAGGGTTAAAGAGTTGGAGTTTGTATGCCTGATGAAACTCATTTCTCTTTCCATTTTTTTATTCATGCCAAAACCATTTATCTTTTTCCAAAAACATATTATTTTAAATAATAGCAACTTTATCATAATTATTTTGGTTTTTTAATAGTGCTTTTCTGCTAGTTCATTGTAGCCATAAATAAAGGAATAAAGGGAAAACAATAGTTAGGCTAGAATAAAATGAAGATTATCTAATGCACAAAAATAATTGAGCAGCAAAGTACCTAATAGCATACCTGGTACTTGGAAAATTTCCTATAAAAATATACATCCATATAAACAAATACTAACTTAGTCTATACTGTAGTAGTAGCCTGATTTACTCTTTTTGTCAAGTAGCATTTCTTATTCTAAGATATATCTGGATTATACTTTTTAAAATTTGTAAATATTTCCATTTGCAAAATGTTAAGAGGACTATATACCTAATTAGAAATTCACTTTTTGTGTGATTAAAGTGAAATTCATATAAACTGCACACTGTGGTCACAGGAGTCAGCTTCCACAGAGCTGCTAGCCTGGGCCTTTGTACACACAGACAGTAGACATCCCTTTGTTTTGCCCCTCCTTCTCTTCTTCAGCAGTCATTCAATGACAAGCGTAAAAAGAACCTCTTTTCCCGAAAATTCCCCTTCTACAAGAACAAGGACCAGAGTGAGCAGGAAACAAGTGATGCTGACCGTAAGTATGTGGATCCAGTGGCCAACTGAAAGTAAATATAGAGGCACCTACTGCCCTGCAGTTGGTTGTTACCATGGAGACAGTTTCAAGAGCTGCAACAGGTTACTGTTTTAAGCAGAGAAAACTTTAACAGGTATACATTCATATGTACACTAGTCTTAGGTTTTTCTTGTTCCTTTGCATTCTTGAAGTAAACAATGTATTGTTACCTGTTAATAAACATTTTAAATAAACAGAATTACATTTGAATTGAGTTCTCATTTTTAAAAAATATTAAACATTCACAGGAAAAACTGGATACCTGATTTCTAGGTATAGCACTTTAAACCTTTGATAGTAGATGATCTGGAATCATTCCATTTTTTATCCTGTTTCTTATTATATGTAGATAATGTAAATTTTACTTATAAAATATCAGGAAGTGGCCTAAAATTTTACCTCTCCATCCTAATCAATAGCTAAGCTAGATTTTTGTTCTTTTTATAAGTTACATTTAGCTGTTTGCTCATTCCAAACTTTCAGAAATCTACAAAAATGCTCTGTAGGATATGTGTACCTGTAATGGTCTTGGAACTGTCTCTTACTGTAGCACCAATTTTATGAATTACTGACAACTATTTTCTTTGATTATCTTTTTATTGCTTGCTCTCTGGGGACTACTCTCTACAGGAGATCCCTGACGACATGGGATCAAAAGGCCTGAGTAAGTGATCAAAATACTCCCCAAGTTATTTTTTAACCTCCATCCACAGACCTACCTTATTCAGATACATTTTGAGATTCATGGTAGTGCCCTTCTGGCATAAGGAGGTGTGTGATACATATTGCTTTTAGGCTTTTCATGTTTATAACATGCTTGGGATTTTTATTTCTGTAGTACTTTTGGGGGGTGCTCTACATTTTACATATTACTTGATAATTTCATGATTTTTATGTCGTTATTTTTGCTAAAAAATTTTTTAATATAGAGGCATTTTAAAGGTTATTTTGTGGCTTTTTTCCATGTTTAGATTTTTTTATTATGAAAATACTGTACAGAGGGGTTACAATTACATGGGCAAGATAATGAGTACTGTGGCTTTTTTTTTAAAGAGTTTATTTAGTAATGAGAAAGTAAAATCTATCCAGCTACTCAAAATAATGAGCAGCGGGCCCCGGAAACTGGTTGTCCCAACCCTCATTATTAAAATGTAGAAGTGGGCTTCCTTGGAATTTTTGTCCCTATTTTGTTGTTGTTGTTGTTGTTGTAAAAATAAGTTAAAATCACTTTGAATTGTGTGTTTAGAAACATTGCTATGATATAAAGGTATAAAACAGACATTAAACTTAAAGCAGCAGTTTGGGGGGAAGGAAGTAGGCGATCTCTTTTAGTTGTTTTTTGTTTTGTTTTGATGTTGTTTTTCCCAGTCCTGGGGCTTGAACTCTGGGCCTAGGAGCTGTCCCTGAGCTCCTTTTGTTCAAGCTCCTTTTGCCACTTGAGCCACAGCACCATTTCCAGCTTTTTCTGTGATTAATTGTAAATAAGACTCACGGACTTTCCTGCCATAGTTGGCTTTGGACCACAATCCTCCTATCTCAGCCTCTTGAGCAGCTAGGATTACAGGTGTGAGCCTCTGGAACCCAGCTGGGTATCTGTTTTTTTAAGAAGACTATTTAAAACTTTGGCAAATAAATGTATACTTTGGGGTTTTCTTATAAACAAAATTGTGTTTTCGGTCTGTTTTTGTTGTGTTCTTAATTTTCTACTAGTAAGTAATCTTATATAAAGATTGGACAGATCTGACATGTAGAAAGACTCCAATAAATACTAGAATGAATAAATAATCCGAGTCCTTTTTTTTTTTTTTCGTTCTAGTCCTGAGGCTTGAACTCAGGTCCTGCTTGGGTGTTGCACTGTCCTTAAGCTTCTCTAGAATTTGAATATTTCCCAGTTGCTTAACTCAATAATTAACAAACATTACCAAGTAATTCAAGTAATTTCAGGTGATGACTCCTAGAAATAATCTTTTAGGCTACTTATGTTTTAGATGGTTCTTCCCATTTACATGTTTTAGTAATTAGAAAACTTCATAATTTATTGATCATTAAGTTCATAGCTTTTTAGTATCTATAGTAATAAATATTAAATCTCACAAAATATTTTTTATTTGTAGTAACTTTGTACTGGAATTTCAAATTGAACTATTGGTATTTTACTTTTATTTCCATCATAATGATTTAGGTTTATATTAGGATGGGGACAGTAGATATAATGCATAATTACTTCTTTTAATAGAATTGTTATTTTTGCATGTGCCTTTTAACTTTTCCTATCACTAGTAGCATCTTTTTTAATGTTTTGTCTTTTGGAAAAATTACCAATGAAAACCTGAGAACTGGAAAATATTTCCCAAGATTTTTGATGTTATGAGATTTATTTCGAGACTGATATTTTAGAGATTGTTAGGGATTAGTAAATAGACCTAACAGATTTATATCTCATGGAGGCAGCAGAGAGACCTATGACAACTTATAGAAAAAGTAGCTAAGTGAAGTATTTGGTTCCCATGTTGATACTGTTATGATGGATGGTAATTTATTCTTTGTTGTATTTAAAAAAATGGACAAAATTCCACGATACAAGTGAAGAGTAAAAGTAAATCCTAACATATATCAGATATGAAAACAGCATGTTTGGTGCTCTTTTGTATCATGTCTTCCGGTAAGCATATACACACATACTTTTGGGTGGGGGATAGATACCTAGAAAAGGAAGGAATTACTGAGTCACACATGTACGTGTGTAGCAATGTAGGTCCAGTTGGCTTTCCATATCCGTAGGCTCCATTTCCTATGGAAATATTTGAGGCAAAAATTTCAAATATTTACAAAAATTCTACAAGAATTATAAAATTTTCCACACAGATCAGGCACTACACTGAATCCATCCAAATCAAGCCAAGTGTCTGTTTGCTATGTGTCAGCTTGCACACAGGTCCTCTGTCATTCTTCAGCACTTTTTGAGCATTGTTTATTTCATGGCTTCCAATAGTTTAACTTTATCTCCTTGTTATTTATTCTTGAATATAGTATAACAGCTTTCTACATAGCATTCACTTTTGTTTGATATATTAAGTAATACAGTGATGGTTTAAAATACATAGGAATGCCAGTGTCTTATGCTTGTAATCTGGACTGATATTCAGGAGGTTGAGATCTGAACATCACAGCTCACAGCTAGCCCTGGCCGAAAGTTTGTGAGACCCCACCAAATAGCCAATGGCTAGCCTCTAGCACAGCTCCACTTCCAGCTTTTTGGTATTAGTTGGAGATAAGAGTCTCACAGACTTTCCTGCTAGGACTGGCTTCTCAGTTCTCAGCCTCCTGAGTAGCTAGGATTACATATGTGTGCCACCAGCACCTGGCAGTAGTAAGGTTTTATTGCAGAAGAGCAAAGTAAAAGGATGTGTGGGAAAACTTGGAAAATTTGTTATATAATGCTTGGCAGTCTGAAAAGTTTAAAATGAATAGGTGAAAAAAAAATCCTCAGGGAAAAAAATGAATAGGTGAAACAAAAGAAAAAGATAATAGTAACTTTTAATTCCATATCTTTGTCAGATATATTTAATAGTAGGATAGTAAAAAAATAAATGCCACAAGTACTCAAGTACTCATCCCTTCCCCAACCCCTTCTATAATTATCAGTTCAACATTAACCAATTTGGGGTTTTTTTTGTTTTTTGCGGGGGGGGGTCCGGTTGTGGGGCCTAAACTCTGGGCCTGCGCGCCGTCCCTCAGCTCTTCAGCTCAAGGCTAACACTCTACCACTTGAGCCACAGCGCCACTTCCGGCTTTTTGTTTCTGCTTATGTGGTGCTGAGGCATCAAACCCAGGGCCTCATGCATGTAAGGCAAGCGCTCTACCACTGAGCCATCTTCCCAGCCCCCAATTTGGTTTCTTAAGTACTACCATTTACTATCTCCTTCCACCCCATTACAATAACTAATTTTTCTTTCTTTCATAAATTGAGGTTGCAGAGTTTAATACCAATCCTAATATAAACTTGAAGTATTTTTTGTTTTATGTGTGTATGTGAGACATTTCTTCCACTGAGATAAAGTTTAAAGAAATAGAACAGATAAAAACTATAGAAAACAAGGTATGGTGATATATACTCCTCTAATCTGAGCACTTGGGAGGCTGAGATAGGAGGATTGTGAGTTCAAGGCCTGTGTTAACTACATAGATTTTGTCAAAAAACAAAAAGAAGAGGAGCTATATAAATGAAGCTATGCAATTTTTTATGTTTGTGAAAAATAATTTAGAACAAATTAAAATGTCTTAAGTAAATAAGCAAATCATAACTTATCAACTCAATAGTCTATTACTATATAATATGTATAATTTTATATGTACTTGTCATATTTTAATTTTACTTTAAGTCTCTGCTTTATTTAAAATGTATATAACTATGGTTGAAAAAAATTATATGTTGCCTTTGCAGGTTAGAATAACTTACGCTAACGGTCACAGTTCATGAATTTTTTTTTTAACTCTCTATTTTCAGTTGTGCTAGCTGATTGAATGTGTGGTGGGTATTATAATATAGCAGATAATTATGAAATTTCCTCTTGTCCATCAAATATTTTTTCTTTCCCTAATGTATAAGAAATTTAAATTTTTCCTTTTCAGTATGTTTTGGTTTTTAGTTTTCATAAAGTTTATTAGTCTTTCTATGCAAGAAAGGTATTCAGAGATGACATGAGTTCCTTTTATTTTGTTAACAATCAGGTTACAAAGTGAAGTCACTTGAAGAGAAGTCAGGCAATTTTTGACTAAGTATTGTTTTGATGAGTTTTTTGTGTTTATAAAGCAGTCACTCAGTTTTATCAAAATTGAGTTTCTAAGAAATACGAGTCTATTTAGAAGTGCAGTCCCAACTTCTTGAATTCCTTTTCACTTGAATCTTTTTCAGTAATTAAATTGAGGTATCTGCAGTGCATTGTATGATATCAGAAACAGGGATTCTCATCTCTGTTCAGGAACAAGTGGGAAGCTAGACTAAAGATGCATTTTTAAATTACGAAGGCACTCCTTTTTTAAAATGAGCACTGTTTATTCATTTATAACTCATCTTCTTTGCTAGTAGTTGCTATTTCCTAAACTAAATTAAATGGTATAAATGTTATTTTATCTTTTTGGGTTTTATGTCTACATATGTCTATTCGCCTAGCTATTTATACTACTAATTTTGTACATGAAGATTGTATAGAAATAAGGCATTATTTGCAAGTATTTTCCCTTGACAATTCATATTTACTTATTTGGAAAATTAAACTTTAATAAAAATTTTAAAATACTTTTTTAAAAATCTTCAGTTAATCCAGGCACCGTTGGCTCATGCCTGTAATCCTAGCTACTCAGGAGGCTGAGATCTGAGGATCACGGTTCAAAGCCAGCCCGGGCAGGAAAGTCCCTTTGAGACTCTTACCTCCAATTAACCACCAGAAAACTGGAAGTGGCATTGTGGCTCAAAGTGGTAGAGCACTCAGCTTGAGCTGAAATGCTTTGGGACAGTGCCCAGGCCCAGAGTTCAAGCCCCACAATAGACCAAAAAGTAAATAAAATAAAAAACCTTCAGTTATATGTGGTTTATGTCAACATTTGTAATATCGCCTTGCTTTATTTTGGTCATTTGCATTTATCAGCCTTTTAAACTCACAACACTGTGTTTTCTTTATTTTATCTTATTGTCCTGAAATTACAGAGCATGTAACTTCTAATGCCAGCGATAGTGAAAGCAGTTACCGTAAGTGTTTTAAGTTAATATTTTTGTAGTATGAAGTATAACACGTCCTTTAGATGGTTTTTTCCTTAGTAATATGCTGTAAGAACTGAAAATCAATTACTTACTATTTTAAAATCATAGAGAGCCAAGTAAAATTCTGTACTTGAAAAATAAGATCTTAGAATCCCAGTGCCAGTGGCACACACCTCTGTAATCCTAGTTACTCAGGAGGCTGAGATCTGAGGATCACTGTTCAAAGCCAGCCCGGGCAGGACAGTCCGTGAAACTCTTATCTCCAATAAGCTACCAGAAAACCAGACGTGGTGCTGTGGCTCAAGTGGTAGAGCACTCGCCTTGAGCTGAAGAGCGCAGGGATAGCGCCCAAGCCCAGAGTTCAAGCCCCATGACCAACAAAAAAGTTTTAGATTTGGGGACATTTCAGATTTTAAAATTTCAGATTTGGGGAAACTCAATCCAAAAAGTCTGAGCAAATATTTCAGTTGCAAAAAACTGATAAACCTGGTTCCAAATATTTTAGGTAAAGGATGTTCAACTTGTTCAGAGGTTCATTTCCAAGGTTAATAAAATACTAAAACCCATTTTACAAACTAATAATTGTTACACAGTACATATGTATATGTATATCTTTTACTTTTCAAAAGTAAATATCTCATAAAATGGAGAGTAAACTTGTACTTTCACATTTTGTTTAATAATTTTATTTTTAATATACTAATACTCTTAAGCAATGCTAAATTAGGTTTGTTTCCTTTCTCTGTTACCATTCTGGTCTAAGTCATTTATCAGTATTTGATGGTAAACATAAGAAATGAGAAAGGAAATAACCATTGCTTGAAAAGTTTTATCTCTTGGTGTTTTGTATTATAGTGTTTTGTATTATAGTGTTGGTGTTGAACTATGCAAGGATGTGAAGTTTTTAAACAAATTGGGATGTGGGAGGGGGGGGAGAGTACATGATCATTATGAGTTGTAGCACTGTAAAAATTAAAATTGCTTTTCTAACTTTTTTTTACTGCTGTCTAATATGAAAGTAATCTTGATTACAGATGAGTATGGCTGCTCAAAAGGTCAATCATGTTAATATCAGTCCCTAATATTTTTCCTGTTGACAATATATACTTTTAATCCTCATTCATTTAGTTGGTTTTAGTGTCTGCTTAAGGATTATTTGGGAAAGTGATTGATTATGTTATTAACTTACAGCCAAATCTCACTTTAGTGTAGTTGAGTGTCTTTCTAGACTAAAATGAGGTAATGAAAGTATATACTGTCTTTCTTACCATTTGCATGAATTGTTAAGGTGTGGAATATTCAAATTGCATGTTTTTGTTATTATGTAAACATCCAGTACTTTAAAATATCTGTCTTATATACTATGATAATGAACTTGAAAACAAAAGAATATATTTTAAAGAAGGAAATAATACTTAAGCCAAGCTGTATATACATAGTATGTGCCAGTAACAAGATTGTTATTGAAAATAAGAAAATTTTTCATATTGTCCAATTTGGATTGTTTTTATTGAATCACTTGAATTTAGTTTATTTCCTATATGTATATATTAAGAGCTCTTAGATTTTTTTAATGATTAATTTTTTTCATTAGGTTCAGATATAATTTGTGTGCTTTTTATTTAAAATATTTCTTGAGCTCTGACCCTTTAAACTATAGAAGCGTTAACCTCTAAATTGCCCTTAAGATCAAATCGAAACCTATTTTTACTATCACTATGATTTACTTCGTTGGAAAGAAAGGATTTAATTTTATGTAAAGCTCTTTTCTTTAAAGATATAATTTATAATAATCAGTTAATTTTTTCATCCATGAACTACTGACAGTTTTGCATTTGCATTTAATTAAAGATAATTATTTTTAAATAACACATTTTAAATACTGTTAATATTTGGTGAAACTAAAAACATGGTACTTTAGATTTGATTTGGTCTAGTTTAGCCTGGCCTCATTATATAGTCTAGGCTGAACTCATACTTGTGATCCTCCTTCAACCTGCCAGATGCCAGTATTGCAATTATTTTTTACCATGTCCAGCTGTAGCATGTTTTTAACAACAGATTGCTTAATATACATATATGCAAAGCTGTACTTCAAATATTCTTTAAAAAGTTAGATACTTCTTAGATTCTAAATTAAAAATGAATAAAAAAGATGAAAAGCTATAAATACGTTACACTATTACAGATTTCTTACCCATACTTTAATTTTCTAATAGGTGGTCAAGAAGAATATGTCTTGTCTTATGAGCCAGTGAATCAACAAGAAGGTTTGTGAAGCCTTTTGATCTTAACATTTTATTTTAAGAAATATACTTTCTTCCTGGTGCCGGTGGTTCACACCTGTAATCCTAGCTACTCAGGAGGCAAGATCTGAGGATCACAGTTCAATGCCAGTCTGGGCAGGAAAGTCTGTGAGACTCCTATCTCCAGTTAACCACCAGAAAACCAGAAGTGATACTGTGACTCAAAGTGGTAGAGTATTAACCTTAAGCAAAAAAAGTTCAGGGACAGTGCCCAGGCCAAGTTCAAGCCCCATGACTGATTTTAAAAAATAATAATAATAAAAATAATAATAATAAATTAAAAAAACTTTCCTAAGCCAGTTTTTTCTGTGTTTATAATAGCATTATGCCTTTCCAATAATCCTTTTTAAAAGTCTCCGAAACATCTCTGACCTTTCTGTAAGTATCTTACCTCCTCATCCAAGAGGGTTCTACTCAGTCTATTTCTATCCCCCTTAACAAGTTCTGATTCTCACTACTCATTACTCTTCTTCCAGAATGACCTATTTCGTGTGTGTGTGTGCGCGCGCACGCGCTGACCCTCAGCTCTTGAGCTCAAGCCTAGCACTCTACCCTTGAGCCACAGCGCCACTCCGGCTTTTTCTGATTATGTGGTTCTGAGGAATCAAACCTTCATGCATGCGAGGCAAGCACTCTACCATTGAGCCACCTTCCCAGCCCCCAGAATGAACTTTTATAGCCCAGTTATACTCTGTTAAATCATCTTTCTGGATTGTTACTTTGATGATATCGCTTCCTACACTCATTTTCTTTTTTGTCCTTTTTTGTACTTTACAAATTGCTTCTTCAGAAATGATCATTAAAGCACTGTAACTTATTTTTTTCTCTTGGAATAAGATTGTGTTAGGAATGTGTACAAACATTAGTTACTAAGATGCTAAATTTAACTTGGCTAACTTATAGCAAGAGAATAAGTCAACTTGAAGATCTTAATATAAAGGTTTATAAACTACCAAGTTACTCATCTTTGGTTGATAGACATCTTTATTAATGGTAAAGTGGTATAGAGAAAGAAGAGAAAAGAAATTCTTCATAATTGTTTAGTGTAATTTTTGTCCTCTGGTAAAATAAAATACATTAATGTTTGTTGAATATTCCTTGTAACATGTAGTTTATCTTTATAGTTAATTACACTCGACCAGTTATCATATTGGGACCTATGAAAGACAGGATAAATGATGATCTGATTTCAGAATTTCCTGACAAATTTGGATCCTGTGTCCCTCGTGAGTAACCCAAATAAAACTTCTTAATATTTCCTGTCACTGTATGTAATGAAAGTAAATATAATCATTTTTGATGGCTCATGTAATTATTTTATAAATTATTTCTTGATACTGTTTTCTTTTTCTCAGATTTAATGTCTCTTGGTTTGAACGTTATAAAACACTGATTTAATAGAAAATGGATTTATTGTATTTTTTTAAATATTAAACACTTCCCCAAGTTATTTTCTGTTAAAGATACAACTAGACCAAAACGAGATTATGAGGTAGATGGAAGAGATTATCATTTTGTGACTTCAAGAGAACAGATGGAAAAAGATATCCAGGAACATAAATTCATTGAAGCTGGGCAGTATAACAACCATCTGTATGGAACCAGTGTTCAGTCTGTGCGAGAAGTAGCAGAAAAGGTAAGCGTCAGGGTAATCCCAGAACATTGTTTCTAATCAGTATGCCTTTAGCAGTGTGAAAGAATAACAGGACAGGGGCTGGGAAGGTGGCTCAGAGATAGAGCGCTTGCCTTGCATGCATGAGGCCCTGGGTTCGATTCCTCAGCACCACATAAGCAAAAAGAAAAAAAGCCAGAAGTGGCACTGTGGCTCAAGTGGTAGAGCGCTAGCCTTGAGCTGAAGAGCTGAGGGACAGCGTCCAGGCCCAGAGTTCAGGCCCCACGACCAAACCAAAAAAAAAAGAATAACAGGACAGAAGACACTTCCATTGCTACTCAGGTGACCAAGGTCTTATATGTGTACATTTTGGAGACATTTGTCCAACCCATAGCATAGATGAATCAAGTTAGATTACATTTGTTTTGGTACTGGGGCTTGAAACTCTTACTTAACTTTCTACTCAAAACTGATGTTCTACCACTTGAGCCATAGCTCTATTTCCAACTTTGTTGTAGTTAATTGGAGATACAAGTCTCACTGACTTCTCTGCCCAGGCTAACTTTGAACCTCAATCCTAAAATCTCAGGCTCGTTAGTAGTTAGGATTACAGGTGTAAATCACAAGAGCCTGGTATTAAATAAGCTTGTAAAAATAGAAACAGCATGGTGATTTAGTAAACATTGAAAACATAATGGAGCTGGGCATTAGTGACTCAAACCTATAATCATAGTTATAAGATCTGAGATCTAAGGATTAAGATTTGAAGCCAGTCTGCACAGATAAATCTGAAAGATTCTTCTCTCTAAATTCCAGCCAAAATCCAGAACTAAAGACATGGCTCAAGTGTTAGCTTACTAGCTGAGCAAACAAACTAAGCAAGTGCAACACTCTGAGTTTAAGCCCCACTACCAACATCAAATATTTTTTAATAATAGAAAGGAAATAATGCACTATACTTAAACGTATATTTCAAAAATGTACATGATCACTATCTAGTAGTTTTCCTTTAGAAGGAGAGACAAACTGGAGAGCTTAAACTTTTTTGAAATGTTTCCTTTTAATTTCTTTTAAGATTTACAGACTGAACTAGGAATGTGGCTTACTGGTAAGAGTGCTTGCCCAGCATGCATGAGGCCCTGGTTTCAATTTCTTGGTACCACATAAACACAAAATATAAATAAAAAGATTTATAAGCCACACCTTCATCTTAACTACAGAGATAATATCCAACTTCAAATTACTGGTAATAGAAAAGTAAACACCAGATCCTAGAAAAACATTTCTTGTGTAAATCTTACAGACAGAAAAAGCAGTCTTAGAGTAAATGCCCAGAAAAGAAAAGAATAGGCCTGTGATTAACCTGAAGTCATTATTATAAAGAGAAAGAACATCCAAAGTTAACAAAATAAGAGTCCTTATGTTAAATCCAAAATGTAAGGTGATACAACAAAATGAACAAAACTTAAGAAACAAAGGACTTCCACTCATCTGGTCGAATCACTACTAAATAATCCCACGCTGCTGATCACATATATTGTATATATGTGCACACCGGAGGGAAACCAGGAGGAATGCACAGAACTAGAGGGAATCAGGGAAAAACAACAGCGGGACCCATCAGCTGCACTGGACATTGACCAAAATGAACTAAGCAACTCAATGGCAGCGATGGGAGGGAGGGAACAAGTGGGAAAGAGGGAACAGCTGACGCTATGCAAAACAAAAGAAATGTACGTATCACCCAATGTGGAAGAAATAACTGTATTGCAAAGCTCATAGAACTCCTAAATATTATAGACTATGATAGAGAATTTGCTCCATGAAAGTTAGAATGTGTTTATGACTTTAACTAAGCATAACTATCCTACAATACTGTGAAATTTGGGAAATTATGTAGCCACTTAATCACAATAAAAAAAATTGAAAAATAAAAATGAGTCCTTAGAAGATAAGGCATCTAAAACACAGAGAGGTGGCACAAAGGGAGGTAATTTAGGGAAGATAACTCTTCAGTAGAAAAGAGTACAAAAAGGGAGAGATGCCTTTTAATATATAGATGTCAGCACAAAATAAAGGCAAAATAATAAAAGGATATAAGCCAGGTGCCGATGGCCTGTAATCCTAGCTACTCAGGAGGCTGAGATCTGAGGATCACAGTTCAAAGGCAGCCTGGGCAGGAAAGTGAGACTCATCTCTAATAAACCACTAAAAAACTGGAAGTGGTGCTGTGGCTCAAACGGTAGAGCGCTCACCTTGAGCTGAAGAGCACAGGGACAGTGCCCAGACCCAGAGTTCAAGCCCCACAACCAACCAAAAAAAAAGGGATACAGAGACCTAGACAAGATAATTCAATAGAAACTATTAAATATTACAATCTTGATGATAGTCATTATGCTTGTTCAAGGGAGATTGACCAAAAGTGATTATGTCATGTTCCAAAGAAAATAGAAGTTCCATAAGTCATGTACCAATGGTTTCTGTCTGTAATTGGCTAATCAGGAGACAGTGAATGGGAAGTGCAGTTTCAGGCTAGCAAAAGTTCACTAGACTCCCATCTCCAATATCCAGGGGTGGAAGCTTGGAGCAGGTGGTTGAACACAAGCCAATTAAGCAACCAGGCGATCACAAAGCCTCAAATTCAAACTGCAGTAGAGTTTTATAAAGTAGACATATACTATTGATCACTATTTATAAAATCTCAAGCACCTGAAAACTGGAAATTTCTTCTTTTTCTTCTATCATCCCAACTGCTAGGGAGGAAGAGATCAAGAGGCTTATAGTTTAAGTCCTGCTCCAGCAAAATGTTAGCAAGATTTTATCTCAGCAAATTGGTGTCTGTGGTCCTAAGTCTGGAAGGCTGTATAGTAGACCGATCACTACCTGAAGCCAACTCTTAAGTTTCCACCATCAAGATAAGGAACTTGTCAGAGATATCCATCTGACTGGTTTTCAATAGTGTGTTAGAGGGCCTAAATCTAACCAGAACAGTAATACAAGAAAAAGAAATGTAAGTCATCCAGAGTAGAAAGGAAGAAGTAAATTGTCCTTATTTTCAGATGACATGATTGTCATGTAAAAAAAATCTAATGTATTTTACAGAAAAACTAGTATTAGGGGCTGGGAAGGTGGCTCAGTGGTAGAGCGCTTGCCTTGCATGCATGAGGCCCTGGGTTCGATTCCTCAGCACCACATAAGCAAAAAGAAAAAAGCCAGACGTGGCACTGTGGCTCAAGTGGTAGAGTGCTAGCCTTGAGCTGAAGAGCTGAGGGACAGCACCCAGGCCCAGAGTTCAGGTCCCACGACTGGACCCAAAAACAAAAAAGAAAGAAAAGAAAAACTAGTATTAATAATTAAATTTACCAAGATTGAAGAATATAAGATCATACTAAGAGATACCTAAAGAATTTTTTGTGTGGGGGAATGGTGGGTAGAAGGTTTAAGACTCAGAAACTCTTACTTGCTAGGCTGATATAATACCATCATGTTTGTGGCCCTGTTGTCCACTTTCAGGGAAGGTCTTAACTATCTGCCTATTCTCGAATTTCCATAGTTGCTGGGATGACAAACTTGAGCCAGTGCATGGAGTCTCACAGACTTTTCTGCCTGAGCTGCCCTGGAACCACATCCTTACATTTATCAGCCTCCTACATAGCTTGAGATGGCAGGTGCTCACCACCAATCCACCTGTGGGTTGAGAAGGGAAGGAGTATCATAAACTTTTCTGCCTCTTTTGGCTTGAATCCATGATCCTCTTCTAATCTCAGCCTCCCACATAGCTAGGATTACAAATGTAAGCCACTGGCACCCACCTATCTAAAAGAATTCTTATACAATGTAACAAACACATCCTAACTTTAAAAGTACTAAAGAAATTAATAGATATTTCTCCAAAGAGGACATTTTTCAAATACTCATAGGAAAAGATGTTCAGTAATACTAGTTATTAAGGAAGTGCAAACTGAAAACAAAATAAGGTACCAAATTCCCATTAAACTTAATATATAGTCTACTTCTAATTATCTACACAAGGAAAAAGAAAGCCATATGTCCCTATAAAGAATTGTTCTTAAATGATCATAACAGTTCTATATTTGCTACAGGCAAAAACTGGAAACAACCCAGATGTCCTTCATTTAGAATGGATAAAATGTAGTCTTTGTTTTCAGTTGCAGCAATATACTACTCAACAATCAAAGAAATAAGCTACTAAGCTGGGAATGTGGCTTAGTGGTAGAGTGACAGTAGAAGGACAGTACCCAGGCCCTGAGTTTAAGCCCCAGAACTGGCAAAAATAAAAATAAAAAAGAAGATACATACACAGCAGATAAATTTGCATGTAGTTATTCTGAGTAAAGAAGCCAAACAATGGAATGCATGCTGGATAATTCTACTTAACATAAAAATCTAGAAATGTCAAGCTGGGTGCTGGCAGCTTATGCATATATTCCTAGCTACTCAGGAGGCTAGGATCACAATTCAAAGTCAGCCTGGGCAGGAAAATCCATGAGACTCTTCTCCCTAACCACTAGAAAACTGAAAGTGGTGCTGAGGCTCAAAGTGGCAGAGTACTAGCCTTGAACCCAGACCCTGAGTTCAAGTCCCTTGGCTTAACAAAAAAAAAAAAAAATCTAAAATTTTCAAGTGATAGTGGAAAGGAAACCAGTGGTAGTTTAGAGAAGAATAGCAAGGAAGGATACAAGGATGATTGCAGGGATTTCAGGTTATAAATGCTCATCAGAATTTATCATTTGTGAGCTGGAGATGTGGCTCAAATGATACGAGCATCAATCAAGCAAAGGCAAAGCTCTGCATTCAAACCCCAACGCTACAAAAAAAACTGTAAATTGTATACTTTTAAATATGTCTTTTATTCTGTTATTTACATCTTAATGAACAATTAAATTAACAATCCTCCTGGCACTTAAGAAATGTTTATATCCATGCTGGAAATGTGGCTTAGTGGGAGAATGCTTGCCTAGCCTGAAGCCCTGGGTTTGATTCCTCAGTACCAAAACAGAAAAAGCTAGAAGTGGCATTGTGGCTCAAATGGTAGAGTGCTAGCCTTGAGGAAAAGAAGCTCAGGAATAGTGCTCAGGCCCTGAGTTCAAACCCAAGGACTGTCAAAAAAAAAGAAAAAGAAATGTTTATATCCATACCTTCTAAACTGTTTAAAGTAAGTGTGTGTGTGTGTGTGTGTGTGTGTGTGTGTGTGTGTGTGTGTGTGTGTGTGTGTGTGTGTGTGTGTGTCCGTCCATCCATCTGTCCTAGGCTTGAATTCAGGGACAGGGCACTATCCCTGAGTTTTTTTTCAAGGCTTACATTCTACTACTTGAACACCAGCTCTGCTTTTGGCTTTTTTTTTTCCTCGTAGTTTGTTGGAGATGACTCTCACATACAGTTTTCTACCCAGGGTGGCTTCAAAACAAGATCCTCAGATCTTAGCCTCCTGAGTTGCTAGAATTATAGATAGGTAAGAGCCACTGGCACTAGGCAGGTATGTATTCCTTTTAAAATAATAAAAAGATTTGAAAGAAACTGATAAAATAGAAAAGTAGATCTTAGGGCTGGGAAGGTAGCTCAGTGGTAGAGTGCTTGCCTTGCATGCATGAGGCCCTGGGTTCGATTCCTCAGCACCACATAAGCAGAAAAAGCCAGAAGTGGCACTGTGGCTCAAGTGGTAGAGTGCTTGCCTTGAGCTGAAGAGCTCAGAGATAGTGCCCAGGCCCAGAGTTCAGGCCCCACGACTGGCAAAAAAAAAAAAATAGTAGATCTTAAACAGAATTTACAGTGTGTGTGTGTGTGTGTGTGTGTGTGTGTGTGCATGTTTGTGTGCATGTTTGTGTGCACACATGTACAGCAGGCTTGAACTCCATGCCTGGGTACTGTTCCTGAATTTTGTGATTGTTTTATTTTTTGGTCTTTTTTTTTTACTCAAGGATAGTACTCTACCATTTGAGCAACAGCTCTGCTTCCAGCTTTTTGGTGGTTAATTGAAGATAAGAGTCTCACAGACTTTCCTACCCAGGCTGGCTTTGAACCATGATCTTCAGATTTCAACTTCCTGAGTTGCTAGGATTATAAGCATGAGCCACAAGATAGAAAAGTAGATCTTAACTACAAATTACTTGCTTACCTGATTTTTCTTAGAAATAATCAGTTAAATATTTAATTTTAAGATAGGAATGAAATGGTATCTTTATTAGGAAAATGCTAACCATCTATGAGATAAAATAAAAAGAAAAATATTTTGAGCATCTTATGAAAATGCTAGGTACCAGTGGCTCACACATGTAATCTAGCTATTAGAGGTGGAGGTCAAGGGGACTGTGGTTTGAAATCTGCCAAGCAAAAAGCTTGGGAAACCCAAGTTACAATAGTAAATCTAAATAGAGAGTAATAGTTCAGGCTAGACTGAGGTTTTTAAAAAAAAAAAGTGAGACTCTGTCTCTAAATAGAACCAGAGCAAAAAGAGCTGGAGTTCTGACTCCTCTGACAGGTATGAAGCTCTGAGGTCGAACAACACTACGGTTAATAAATATTTTAGTAAAGCCAAAGGCTTAATTGTAAGTAGTATAGTATACTGAGGAAATACTCAATTCCAAAATTTACCTTGTGAAATAAATTGGAAAGTCATTTTAAAATAAAGCTTAGCCGGGCACTAGTGGCTCACACCTATAATCCTACTCAGGAGGCTGAGATCTGAAGATTGCAGTTCAAAGCCAGCCCCAACAGGAAAGACTCTTGAGACTCTTATCTCAAACAAACCACCAGAAAGCTGGAAGTGGCACTGTGGCTTAAGTGGTAGAGTGCTCACCTTGAGCTGAAGAGCTGAGGGACAGCGCCCAGGCCCAGAGTTCAAACCCCACAAACGACAGAAAAAATAAAATAATGCTTATAAAACTAAAAGCAGCAGTTAATAAAAAAATAATATGTAGGGGCTGGGAAGGTGGCTCAGTGGTAGAGTGCTTGCGTCGCATGCATGAGGCCCTGGGTTCAATTCCTCAGCACCACATAAGCAGAAAAAGCTGGAAGTGGTGCTACGGCTCAAGTGGTAGAGCACTAACCTTTAGCAAAAAGAAGCTCAGGGACAATGCCCAGGCCCAGAGTTCAAGCCCACAACCGACCAAAAATAATAATAGTAATATGTAGAAATCAGTACCTTCAGATATGTGAAAAATAACCAACAGAGAAAGACCAATTATAATGTAAAAAATAGTATATAAAATACTTAGTGAGCATTGTAAGAAATATAGAGAATTACATGAAGAAACCTGTAAAATATTTCTAAAACACAAAGTTAGACATCCTTTATTTTTATGACAGCTCAGAGCCAGACCCTTATGAAATAGCATCTATCATCCATAAAGACTATTCCTACCATCCTCCATAAAGACATAGACTATTTCCTTGGGCAGTACATCTACTAATACTGAAATGAATGATGAAGAGTGAGAACTGTGCCAGATGGATGGAGAATTACAGCTAAATGAGTGTGATACTACTTGGGGGTCAGTTAGGTAGATATTTCCTGGACCAGGAAGTATCTTATTTCTTTTCCAATAAGTACATTAGATCATCATGTAGAATTATACTGTGATTATGTATGAACTACCACTATTTGTAAGGAATGTAGGCTAAAGGAGCGCATCACATCTAACTCTGAAACTATTATGCACATGTAAAGAGAAAATAAAGCTAACAATGTGTTCATTTCGTTGCTCTGATAAAACCTGACAGAAAACAACAAGGCAAGGGTTTATTTTGGCTTGTGATTTTAAAGGTCTCAATCATCGTTACTTAGCCCTGTTCATTTCTGGGCTTGTGCATGGTGAGAAAGCTGCCAGGAAAGTGGAGAACAAGAGTGAAAGACCCAGAGACAACAAAAACCCTTCAAAGGCACCAATGACCTGCTTCCTCCAACTAGGCCCCAACTTCCTATTAGCTCATTCAGCTATTAATTTCTTAGTAACCCACTAATTTTAAACAACCATGTAAATGCTAATATGTGTTTAAAGTAAGCAATGGGCACAGTATGCTTATTATTTGCTTTCTTTATATTTGAATTTTACAGTATCTTTTTTTATCGTTTTTTTTTATCCTTCTTATTGAAGCAATAATTTATTGACAAAGACTCAAGCCTTTAGAAGGTACTTTGTAAAAAAGGGGACCTGTTGTAAAATGTTATAATGAAATCTGTTTGATTAAATATATGCTACCTCATTTAACATAAAAGTCTCAAGTAGCCAGAAACTAGTGGTTCATGCCTGTAATCCTAACTACTCAGAGGGCTGGATATGAGGATAGTGGTGCAAAGCTAGCCAGTCCAGGCAGAAAAGTCCATGGGATTCATTTCCAATAAACTACTCAGAAAAGGCCAGAAATGGCTCTGTGGCTTAAGTAATAGAGCACTAGCCTTGATGTTCAAGGACAGTACCCGGGCTCTAAGTTCAAGTCCCAGAACCCGGGAAAAGAAAAATAAAGTCTCAAGTATATTAAAAAAATAATTGAGGCTGGGACTGTGGCTGGCCTAGCTAGCATTCATGAAACCCTGGGTTCAGTTCCTCAGTACCACATAAACAGAAAAAGCCAAAAGTGGTGATATGGCTCAAGTTGTAGAGTGCCAACTTTGAGCAGATAAAGCTGAGGGACAGTGCCCAGGCCCTGAGTTCAAGCCCCAGGACAGGCAAAAATAAAGTGGAAAAGTTTGCTGGGCGCTGGTAGCTGACGCCTATAATCCTTAACCACTCAGGAGGTTGAGATCTGAGGATCATGGTTCAAAGCCAGCCCAAGCAGGAAAGTCTGTGAGACTCTTATCTCCAATTAACCACCAGAAAACCAGAAGTGGTGCTGTGGCTCAAGTGGTAGAGCACTAGCCTTGAGCTGAAATGCTAAGGGACAGTGCCCAGGCCCAGAATTCAAGCCCTACAACCAACAACCAAAAAAAAAACCTAATTGAACTTTGTCAGTGAATTTAAGCATGTCAGCAGAGTTGGCAAATCATGTATATGATTTGTAGTATTTAGAATCTTTTACCTTCTGTGAATCATTTTTAAATAAAATGATGGTTATGGAAAGATGGTAGTATATTATCGTTTTTAGTAATGCCCATCCCTGACAAAATTAATGATGGGAATCCTATATTGGTTACAGTTTGGGGAAGTTGCCAGTCTTTAAGAGCAAGGCATATGGGAATTGTACTTTCATTTCCTTTAAAATATAGTATTTGAGAATGGCAGATTAATTATTCATAATCATTATCATCATCTTCATTTGCCTTCCCCTCTGAAACTTGCTAACAGAAATGACAAGTTTGCTTATAGTGAACAAGGAACCGAACAGTCCAGATTTTGTACCTATAGGAAACATACATGTAATATGCAGGAAAGGATTTGACTCATTTGTTTTTGTCTTTTATTCTATTTCAGGGCAAACACTGTATCCTTGATGTGTCTGGAAATGCCATAAAGAGATTACAGATTGCACAACTTTACCCAATATCCATTTTTATTAAGCCCAAATCCATGGAAAATATTATGTAAGTGGCAAGCCTAAGTTGCTGTTGTATTTCATTTACAACCTACATCTCAGTTCCTCTGTAAGATAGAGATAATAATAGTATGCCCATCTTTTGTAGAATGTTGTGAAGATTAGAAAGTACTGTCATTGACAACATCATCCTTAGTATAACTGAAGTGTAAGGTTGCATGTATTAGAACTTTAAATAGAGACTGGGAATGAGGCTTAATGGTACAGTGCTTGCTAGCATGCATGAAGCCGTGGGTTCGCTTCCTTAGTACCACATAAACAGAAAAAGCCGGAAGTGGCGCTGTGGCTCAAGTGGTAGAAAGCTAGCCTTGAGCAAAAGAAACTCAGGGACAATGCCCAAGCCTTGTTCAAGCCCCAGGACTGGCAAAAAACAAAACAAAAAACTTTAAATAGCCACGGGTACTTTTTTTTCCCTCATTGGACTTCTGAAAGCATGATGGATCACAGCAGCTTTACTGGAATTACCCACAAAAAAAGTTACCCAAGATTTTCAGTCTTGCTGCTCAAACTTAGCACAATCTACTCTGAATCTTGACTCAACATACACCAACATTTTGCTGTCAATATGTGAAGGACTTCAGCTCCATTAAATTGGACTAAATTTCTTCTTTATAAGGATTAGCTAAGATATTCGGCCAATGAAAGATCATATTGTTCATAAAATAATTTTTTTAAATAGCCATATGTGGGACTGGGGGGTTATAGTTCAAGCCAGCCTGAAGTCAAACTCCTTATCACCAAATAAATAGTCATATGGCTGGGCACAGTGACTCACACTTATAATTCTAGCTACTCAGAACACTGAAAGTAGAAGGATCTCAGTTGGAAGCTAGCCCAGGCAAAACATTCTCAAAGCTCCATCTCAAAAGAAAAAGGTAGCCGGGAGCTTGTAGCTCATGCCTGTAACCCTAGCTACTCAGGAGGCTGAGATCTGAGGATTGCAGTTCAGAGCCAACCCAGGCAGAAAAATCGATAAGATTCTTATCTCCAGTCAACCACCAGAAAACCAGAAGTAGTGCTGTGACTCAAGTAGTAGAGTACTTGCCTTGAGCTGAAGATCTAGGGGACAGTGCCCAGGCCCAGAGTTCAATCCCCACTATCGACCAAAAAAAAAAAAAAAAAAGCAGAGAGAAGAAAAGGGTAGTCATGGTGGTGCACATTTAATCATCCTAGCTTAGTAAGAAATACAAATAGGATTACATCCTGGCCTATCCAAGCAAAGAATTAAGATTCTATATCAGGAAGAGTTGGAGTAGCAATGGAATTATATCTGATGGGTATAGCACCATCCTTGAACAAAAAAGCCAAGTATAACACCAGCCTTAAGCCAAAAAAAAAAAAAAAAAAACACAAGGCCTACAGTTCAAACCCCATGGCTGACCCAACAAAAGAGGAAAAAGAGTTGGAGGTGTGGCTCAAGCAATAAGAGCATCTGCTTAGCAAGCACAAGGTCCTAAGTTCAAGTTCTAGTACACCAAGAAAAAATCAAGAAAAGAACAATACCACTATACATTTAGTAGTTGTTATAAAGTTCAGAATAGGTAATTCAGTGGGGAAATTGGCTTAGATACATCATCAGAAGTTCCAAATAATAGATATTTGAGTCTGTACCGAACTTAAAACTATTAATGTCAAAGAAAAGGTTAGCTCATCTTTATTGGCAAAGATATGGAGCAACTAAAATGCATATCAATGTTGAGTATAAATTTGAATGTGCCTATTGGTAACTGCATATAGTATATCCTAAAGCTGAGTATATGCTAATGTATGCCTAACCTAGGAATAAACTTACTTATACTAACCAAAGATACATATTTGTTTACTGACAGAGTAGCATTCACAATAGCTAGAAACCAGCTAGTATTGTGGTATATACTATTATCGTAACTCAGGAAGCCAAAGGAAAGATGATAGACCAACAAGGGCTTCACAGAGAAGCCCTTGAGGGGGCAGGAGGTTTGGTCGTGGGACTTGAACTCTGGGCCTGGGCACTGTCCCTGAGCTCTTCAGCTCAAGGCAAGCGCACTACCACTTGAGTCACAGCGCTACTTCTGGCTTTCTGGTGGTTTATTGGAGATAGTCTCACGAACTTTGCTGCCTGAGCTGGCTTTGAACCGTGATCCTCAGATCTCAGCCTCCTGAGTAGCTAGGATTTTAGGCGTGAGCCACTGACTGGTGCACGAAAAGAAGAAAAAAAAACCTGGGCACCAGCTTTTATCTCCAGTTTAGCCACCAAAAAACCAGAAGTGGCGCTGTGGCTCAAGTGGTAGAGCACTAGCCTTGGGCTGAAGAACTGAGGTACAGTGCCCAAGCCCTCAATTAAAAGTCTCAGTACTGGCATAAAAGAAAGAGAAAAAGAAAAAAAAAACATTTACAAAACCATAAATTTACAGCCCAGGCTGGTTCCTCAGCATAGAAACACTACAATAACAAGTAATTGTATGTTAAATAAAACATAACACTAGTGAAAAGGAAAATTGGGGTCTATATAGTTAGTAAGGCATTAGATTAGATTATGTACAGTTTTCAACAACAGTAACAAAAAATTAAAACCACAGTGCAAACAAAGAAAGTTTGAACCAAAGCGGAAAAAAAAATAAGTCAGAACTGTCCATGAGAAAGACGAGACATCAGACTTAATCGACAAAGACATTAAAACAACTCTTTTAAAGATATTCAAAGAACTAAAAGACCTAATAGACAAAGTCAAGAAATGGTGTATGAGCAAAATGGAAGTATCACTGAAAGGAAAACCTAAAAGAAAAAAATTCTAGAGCCAAAAAGAAAACTACTGAAAAAAATCCATTAGAAAAGTTCAAATACAGATTTGAGCAAGCAGAAGAAAGAATTGTACATTTAAAGAAAGAAACTGGAAGTTTTAAGTCTAAGGAACAGAAAAGGCATTGAAGGAAAGTGAGATACCATTAAGTAAATTAACATACACATTGGAGGAGCCCAAAAGGAGAAGGAAGAAAAAGAGACAGAGAAATGTGAAGAAATTCTTTTTTTTTTTTGTCGGTCGTGGGGCTTGAACTCTGGGCCTGGGCGCTGTCCCTCAGCTCTTCAACTCAAGGCTAGCGCTCTACCACTTGAGCTACAGCGCCACTTCCAGAACCTTCTTGAATTAGATGAAACCAGAATATAAATATCCAAGAAGTTCAGTGAACTATAAGCATGATAAACTCAAGAGACCATCCCTGTGACACCTCAGGATCAACCTTTTGGAAGATGGAATGTTGAAAGCAATGAGACAGTGACTTGTCAAACACTAGAGATACCCCATAAGAATTCTTATCAGAAATTTGGAGGTCAAAAAGCAGAGGGTTCCTTTACTAAAAGAACTGACAAAAAACTGTCAATCATAAAATCCCATCCCTGGCAAATTATACGTCAAAGCTGAGAGAGAAGCCAGGTGTGGTGACGCACATCTGTGATCCCAGCACTAAGCAGGCAGAGCTAACATACAGAATCCGAGGCTAGTTTTGGTCTACTGGTAATACATAATCTTAAAAGAAATGAAGACATTCTCAGATAAACAAAAGCTGAGGAAGTTCATCACCTCACACTCCGAATTGTCGAATGATTTTTCATCATTATTTCATAAGTTTTTTATGTGTTTTCAATTTTTATTGTAGTCAACGTAAGTCTGCGTAAGTTTCATTCATGACAGTTGATAACTTCTTAATCTGCAGGTGCTCCTTCCTCTTCGTCCCACCATCTCAGTTAATGGTAAAGAAAGGCACTTCTACAAAGATTTCCTCAGTCTTTTTTGATTGCCTTCTCATGGTAGTGTTTAATAGTTTCATGTGCTATTTTATTTTCTATAAATGCTGTATAGATCTGTAATCATTTTAATACAAAATTTTCATCCAACTCAAAACTTAAAAGACTAATGCTTAAGTTTTGACTACTTGAAGCTGATGCAGAATGTTAAAAATCCTTTTATTCCAAGTATAAAAAGAAATTCAGTGATTAAATCTGTTCTTAATTACATCCATATTTTCAGCAAAGTTTACCTTTTCATGATTTTATGTTTTACGTGCCATTCTCTCCTTTCAAAAGGTATTAAAATACAACAATTACCAATTTCAAAATTTATTTTCATAGGGAAATGAATAAGCGTCTAACAGAAGAACAAGCCAGAAAAACATTTGAGAGAGCCATGAAACTTGAACAAGAATTTACCGAACATTTCACAGGTTAGAACCACATGGGGCAATACCCTTTCACCTTTTTTTATGGTTTTGTTTTTGTTGTTGAAAACAACAAAAAACATAAAAATGCTGATAACTAGGGCATGAACTTTTGCACTTGCTTATCTTTTTTTCACTAAAGCTGACACTTTTTATCACCTGTGAGACAGCTCCACTTCCAGCCTTTTGCTGCTTAATTGACAATAAGAACCTAGAGGCTGTATCTTCCCAAGCTGACTTGGAACCACAATCCTTAAATCTCAGCCTCATGAGTAGCTAACTTTACTAGCATGAGCCACCGGTGCCCATCTTGACAATCATCTTTCTAATAGAATTTTGCTATGTCCCCATCTACTGAGAGTAACTATTATACTGTCATTTCAGAATGAACTCTTTTAAGTTCTGTTATTTTTATCCTGTAGGAAATTCATCTAACCTAGGCAATGGTAATACAGACTCTTAAAATTACTATTTCTAGGGCTGACAGTGATAGCTCATGCCTGTATTCCCAGGTACTGGAGAGGTGCAGATCAGGAAGATCATGAGTCAAGACTGGCATGGGCCAAAGGTTCACAAAACCCCATCTCAACAAAAATGTCATCCCAACTATATGGGAAGCAGGTCTCGAAAGGCCTAGGCCTGAGACACTATTTGAAAAATAACTAAAGCAAAAAGGGATATGACTGAATGGATAGAGCACTTGCCTAGCAAGCACAGTGCCCTGAGTTCAAGCTCTTACTACTGCCCCTTAAAAAAAATAATGTGGCCTGGTGCCAGTTGGCTCATGCCTATAATCCTAGCTACTCAGAAGGCTGAGATCTGAGGATTGAGATTGAAAGCCAGCCCAGGCAGGAAAGTCCATGAGACTCTTATCTCCAATTAAGCAGAAAACTGGAAGTGGTACTATGTCTCAAGTGGTAGAGTGCTGGCCTTGAGCTGAAGAGTTCAGGGACAGTGCCCAGGCCGAGAGTTCAAGCCCCATAACCAACCAAAATAACAATAATAATAATAATAATAATGTGTCTTAGATTGCTAAGGCAGCATATACAGGAGTATTCATGTTTGACCAGAGAAAAACATTTCAGTTTCATTTCTTCTATGAAACTATGACTTTTCTCCTACTTTGATAAACTTTAATCTATTTTTCCTGGCTTATTGAGATAAAAGTGACAATTTTTGTACATATTCAAAATGTACAAAGTGATTTGACATACATACAGATTGTGAATTGCTGCACTCATTTTAACACATCTATCACCAAACAACACTTTGTATTTGTGTGCTGAGGTCACAAGTCATTATACTCTACATTAGTTACCCAGAAAGTGTGTGTGTGTATGTGTGTGTACACTTGTGTGTGAGCACATGAACACATGCAGGGGATTAAACCCAGGGCCTTGCCAGACAAATACTCTACTACTGAGCTACATTCTCAGCCCCATTTACCTTTTTATAATTGAAAGTTTATACTCTACCCTTTGACTAACTTCTCATTTCCCCTGTCCCAAAGCCTCTGGCAACCACTGTTTCAAATCAACTTTTTTGGATGCCATGCATAAGTGAGATCCTACTGTATCATTTTTCTGTCTGGCTTGTTTCACTTAGCATAATGACCTTCACATTTACTCATGCAGTCACAAATGACAGAATTCCTTCTTTCTCTTTGTTTCTTGTACTGGTACTAGGACTTGAACTCAGGATTCTTAGGTTTTTTTGCTCCAGGCTAATGTACAACCACTTGAGCAATAGTTTCACCTCTGGCTTTTTTCTGGTTAATTGGACTTTACTGCCCAGGCTAGCTTCAAACAACAATCCTCAAATCTCAGCCTTCTGAGTAGATATAATAAAGGATTCCTTTTTAATGGCTGAGTAATATTCCATTGGTGGATATTTCTGCTGTATTTCCTTTATCCTTATCCATTCATCCGTCAGCAAGCACTTAGGTGATTTCTTTTTTTTTTTTTTCCTTTCAAATCAAACCAACAGGGCCACAGCCCAACTTTTACTAACAGAAATTTGTAATATTCAAAAACTCCGTTCCTTTTACATATTCACTAGCTTTTGACTCTGGAAGGCAATTCAATTAACAAAGAAAGACTTAAAACAAAGCCATAAGACTTCAGAATTAGTATGCTACATTCTCAAATACACCAAACTACTTCTTTCCTCTTCTTGAGCACTGTCATATAAGATGATTATATATTTGTGGTTTATTTATCTTTGTTCAGATGCTTGTTGATTTTTTTCAGTGTGTGTTCCAAGTGTTTGTTTAGCTCTCGGCTTTTGAATCTTTTCATCTCCTCATTTTGTATTGAAGACTCTTTTAGGTCTCCCTTGCTTCCGTTTAGGCACCACAGCTGATTTAGGTATTGCTCCAATCTTGTGGTCACCTTTTCTCTTTGCCTTTGCTTAGGTCTCAAGATAGGATTCATCCTCTCCTGCCACTTTCTTGGTTGTACGATCCTAGTGTATTTCTTCTTAGGTGGTGGTTGAGGAACCATGACTTTATTAGCTGAATTCACTGCTCTAACAGAATTCTTATCTGCTTTATCGGCCATCACTTTTCTGGAGTGGAGAGCCCGAGAGCATCTCCAAAATGGTGGGGTAGCTGACTTAGGTGATTCCTATACCTTAGCGGTTATAGAAAATGCTTCTGCAAACAAAAATGCAGATCTCTGACATACTCATTTCATTTCTTTTGGATATATATCCAGCAGTGAGGTTATTAAATCATATATGTCCTAGTCTGCTAGAATAAAATAACACAGACAGGGTAAATAATAAACAGTAGAAATTTATGTAGTGCACTGTTATTTTATATATATGTGTGTGTGTGTGTATATACATATAAACATATATATATATATAATCTGATTTTATCCCTTTATCAGATATGTAGATTGCAAATATTTTTTTCTCTCCTTCCACTTGGATGATTGTTTTCTTCTCTATGCAGTAGTTTTTAATTTGGTAAAGTTGGCAGTTGATTTTTTTTAATGTTACATGGGTTTTTGATGTCATATTAAAAAAATTATTGCCAAGACAGTGTCAAGGAACTCTTTTCCCAGTTTTTTTGAGGAGCTTTTTGGTTTCAGATCCTACATTCATGTCTTTAATCCATTTCAAATTAACTTTTGCAAATGATATAAAGATCTAATTTAATTCTTTTGCATATGCATATAGATTTGAGCCACTGGCACCCAATCATAACCTTGACTTTTTTTTTTTTAAAGCACAGTGGTTCACACCTATAATTCTAGATACTTGGGGGGCTTAGATCCAAATAACTAGGCCTAGTTCAGAGCCAGACAAGACAAAAAAAATCTGAGAGACTTAATCTCTAAAATAACCAGCAAAAAGCCAGGCTGGAAGCTTTACTCAAATGGAATAATACCAGTTGAGCAAGTAAGCCAACTGAGTGCAAAGTCTTGAGTTCAAACAGTGGTATTGGCCAAAAAAAAAAAAAGTATAATCTAAATGCATTTGAGACAAGAAGTAATGATGCATCCTTTTGCGTCTTGTAAGGCATATGTCAACTTGAACTCTTTCTGGTGATGCTAGTTTTAATCACGTGGTTATGGTATCTGTAATACTGTGCTTTCCTAGTTCCCTCCCAACAAGAAACCTGATACTAACCACTCCATTAATGAATTTATAAAGTAAGCTAAATGTATTTATTTCTGAGGTAATTTCTAAGTAACTTTTCCTCCCCAAAATAAGCCATCATTTACTGTTCAGCCTGCACCAGGAAATACTAAGAGGTCCTGTCCCGTGCTCTTGGAGTACACAGGTACCAAACTGGTCAACCAGATGTTTTGTCTTCAGGGACATTAAGGCATATCTACATCTTACATACCTACTCTTACAATTTCAATAGTTAGAAACATTTATGTTGCTTAAATTTTTTGGTTACACATAAATAAACCTTTCCTTCTTAATGTGTACTCAATCTCAATCATCAAATATACAATTTTACCTGAAATCTTCATTTGGTATATTATACTAGGTTGGGGACAGCATGAAATGTCATAGATACCTATAATGCCTTTTCCAAAATCACTGACCACATGATATTTCATTTACAACTTTGAATTCTTTCATTTATATGTAAACATGTTCTATTTTCTTTAAAAGCTACTTGCGCTTCATACTTTTTGTTGAGAATTCTTTTTGTTTTATTAACCCTTATTCCTAGGCCTCACAGACTCCATACATCTCTCAAATAACTAGTTTTTAGTGATTGTTACCATTATTCACGTTTTTTCCAGGCAGCAAATAAACTACCCGAAGAATTTACTACTGTGTAGTTTACAACTACCTAGAAAATTTATTATTCTCTCACCACTAACAAACCAAATTATGTATCTCAGTTTGCCTAAACTCCAGTACCTGACATACCAACATACTTGGACAAAGTTACATATAATAATCATAGTTCCTTTTCTCTAAGATCCTGCCCCCAAAATAAAAGCAAAATAGCTTTTCTTTTCTTTATTTTTTTCTAAATACATTTGTGAAAAAATCAGGAAAGTACAGGAAATACAAAATTTGTTTTAAAAGAATACAACTAAGAGTTGGAAATTTAACATGTACGAGGCCATAGGTTCAATCCCTAGCACCAGTGGAATGAATGAACATGCTCAAAAGATAAACAAACCAAACAAGAAGCAAAAGAAAAATAAAGACCAAATCTCAACTTTAGTCAGTTTTTAAATAAAATGTTGTATATTATACAAATAGTAAAATTAATGAAAGGAATACTTCCTGCAAAGTAAATAATACATTGATGGTATTTAAGTAACTGTTTTCTATGACTCAGCTTCCATTTCACCAATAATTGTAATGACAAAGACAGTTAATGGACTTTTCTGATTTTCTTTCTGTTGTTACAGCTATTGTACAGGGAGATACACTAGAAGACATTTACAACCAAGTGAAACAGATTATAGAAGAACAATCTGGTCCTTACATCTGGGTTCCAGCAAAAGAAAAATTATGAAAAGTGATGTTTCTGTATTTCTCTTTCCACAACCTCTTTTTCTTTGACACTTCCTTGCCCTTTCCTTCTGGAGTCTGTCTTAAATACCCTTCCTGTTGACTCATACCCCACTCATCGTGGTCTGCAGTTGTGCTTATTTTGACATCCAGTGTCTCCCTCATGCTACATCATGTACATTGTTCTATATCACTATTGGTTTGTGGCCATTTTTCAGAACTCAAGATAGATGGCCTTACCAGCTATTAAGGGTTTGGGGAGACGCAGAAATTGTGGTAAAATTCCTTAATGTTTAAGGGAAAGTAACTTTAAAAGATTTTCAGAAAAGCTTTATATACATTATTTTAGAATTTCAATACAAATGAAAGAAAAATTGTTTTAATCAGTGATTTAGTAGACTTTGAGCAACTGTGCACGCTTAACTTTTAATAGCATGGTTTGGCCAATGTATTAGCTCTCAAGTCCTTTTCTCCATTGACTTTGTGTTATTAAATATTTTATTAGAGACAAATAAGGACAGTGTTTTTCATTTCAAAATTCATCTCTTGAGTTAACCGTTATAATTTTACAAAGCCTATTCATTCTTCATAAGAGTTCTTAAAGCCTTTTATTGAGGGCCCTCTCCCCTGTACATTTGGTAGGAATAGAAATGTTGAAGTGTTTTTAATCTACTTGTGCAACATTACTTAAAATGTCTTACAAAAGTTGTTCATACATAATGATCACTTTTTTTAAATGAGGCCATGTTCAGGTGCTAGGGGAGCTCACCTTTTACACAGAAGGTCGAGAAATTTCATAGACACAATAGAGACAAGGCAGACATTTCAATGAAGATGTAGTAATAACCTTTATGATAATGGAAATGGAGTCCAATTCATAGCCTAAAGCTAAAGTATGCTTATGTGTCAGATTTTAATGAATATTTTACCCACAATAACTGCCTATTTTGTTATAATAAAGTATATATATAAATATATATATAACTTTCTTTAAACTGTAACTATGGGAATTATTTTCTTTACATAGTTGCGCACACAAACATATATATATATATATTTAAAATATATTTTTTGTTTTGCCACCTACTCAGTTTTTGTTTGATTATTAAGTTAAATGTTAATTGAACAGACTTCTTTTCCTTAATCATGTCAACTGAAAACAGGAGTATGGTGGTGATGAGGAGAAACTCCAAGGGAAATTAGACTAAATGAAAGTACCTGCGTGTTCTCCTCTTTCCTACAGAAATTTTCCAAAGGTCCCTGGGTTTTTGTTATTATTCTTGTCATTGGGTTTGATTTTGGTCTTCTGCCTTCCCTTCTAGTTCTCCTCATTTTGTTAATAGGAAAGTAGAGGGGGAAACAAACCATTTGTTGGGAGTTTTCCCTCAGACACATTCATCCCACAAAGCTGTTCTGCACTAGGGTTGCACAGATCTTTATGGTGAGCAATTGTAAGAAATTTTTAGTGAAAGCTAGAAATAACTTCAGAAATCAGTTTCTCTGGTCTTTTTTTTTTTTTATATATCATCTGGCTTCCCAATTTTCTTTGGAGTTACTAAGTATGTGGTTTTCGACAACCTCCTCATTACAGTTTCTTAAACAAGTGAGTGCTGATTTGTAAACAATTATCATCGTTATCCATTCCACTTATGAGAAAGAGGAGAACAGCTAATAAACTTTATTGTAAAATCTATTACGTTAAGTGTGTCTTGAATTTTGAAAGGAAAAAAATTATTTTTAAGCTAATTTTTTTGGAACAGTTTGGGTAATTATGTGACAATCTGAATTCAAGAGCCCCACTAGGCGATGTATTACAGCTTTTTTTTTTTTTTTTTTTTTTTTTTGTCGGTCGTGGGGCTTGAACTCTGGGTCTGGGCACTGTCCCTCAGCTCTTCAGCTCAAGGCGAGTACTCTACCACTTGAGCTACAGCACCACTTCCCGTTTTCTGGTGGTTTATTGGAGATAGGAGTCTCACGGTCTCTCCTACCCGGGCTGGCTTTGAACCACGATCCTCAGATCTCAGCCTCCTGAGTAGCTAGGATTACAAGTGTGAGCCACCAGCGCCCGGCGTGTATTACAGCTTTTAACATGAACTGTAGTAGATTACCAAACATAAACAACATTAGAATGGGAAAATCTCAAGAGCTCGAGATACCACCTTTCAGCAAGATACAAGTGTAAGTCATTTTTTAAGTATAATATCAAGAAATCATAAGATTAATTTATGTGTTAAAATATGTAATACAGCAAATGCCAATGGCTCATGCCTGTAATCCTTAGCTACTCAGGAGTCTGAGATCTGAGAATTGCAATTCAAAGCCAGCTTAGTCAGACTCCTGTCTTCAATTAACCACCAAAAAGCCAAACATGAAGCTGTAGCTCAGTTGGTAGAGTGCTAGCCTTGAGCAAAAGAAACCTCAGAAACAGCACCCAGGCCCTGAGGTCAGGACCCAGGACTGGCACCCAAAAAAGAAATCTATAATGTGTTTCTTTCTAGTGTCTTTATTAAGCCATTTATTAACAAGAAAATACTTTTGTGCAGTTTTCCTGGTTGTGTTAGATTATTCATGATGAAATTACTAATTGTAGTAGCTATGTTAGTATATTATAAACTTTTTATTTTCTTTGTGCCAGTCTTAGGGCTTGAACTCGGGGCCTGTGTGCTGGCCCTGATCTTATATTGCTCAAGGCAAGTGCTCTACCACTTGAGCCACAGTTCTACTTCCAGCTTTTTTGGGAGAATTGGGGTAGTTATTGGAGATTAGAATCTTACAAACTTTCCTGCCTGGGCTGGCTTTGAACCACAATCCTTCAGTCTCAGGCTCCTAAGTAGCTAGGATCACAGGTATGAGCCACCAGCACCCAGCTCTTTTTTTTTTTTTTTTTTTTTTTAAGTTGTTAGTAACCCTGATTTAGATGAAATCATCTGCCCTAAGTGACTTAACTAGTGGTAGTGATTGGTATTGATCTGAATCCCTCTTTCTTACCTTTTTTTACCCTGTATTATGCCTCCTCATTTTTTAGTCCCCACTGCATAAGACACTGTGACCTTGTTATTTTAGCACCCCATTACAAATACAGGAAAAAGTCTTAGATGTAGATCTTCACCCAGAGTCCCACAGCAGAGAGGACAGACCTACAGGTAAGTTACTTCCATCACAGCTGAAAGACTCTGGGAAACAAGTCAGCCTAGCATCATCACAGTAACTTACAAAGAAGGAACCTCACTAGAACAATGGTCTTCAGAAGGAAATCTGTTCGAATGCACTGGAAGGGAGTAACATACAGTTTCATGTGCCTTTAGATGCTTCTTAATGACCATAAATTGGGTAAGGGGAAAGCTCCTCTTAGAATGCAATTGGCTACACATTCCTGGGTTTTTTCCTGTTCTCTGTTTAAGGCTCCTCAATTAACAATGGAGACAAGCCTCCAAAGTTGATTCCAGCGAAGTACACTCTGATTAACAAGTATCTCCCAAACACTGTGTTTTATTTAAATCTCAAAGATGGGAAATTGGGACTGTACTACTGAGAAAAACTTGTTTCCTAGACAATCGGAGCAGTTACTTTCCAGGATTCTCTATATTACATACTCTATATGTGGTGAAATAGAACCCAAGAGCTTCCCTTGTCATAACCCAGTGCAGTGCAGAGCCAACATGAATGAGAGCCTTTAGCTCCTGATTCTGGGAAGTAGTTTTTCTACCATCCAGTTCTTTTCCCTCCCATGGTATGAGCTGATCTTAGTGGGTTGTTCAGTCCCCAGAGATTTAGGATACAGGGAGGAAAGAAAGTAAATACCATCACATTTCGTCTGCATTTGGAAAGATTCCAGAGAAAAACATAGATGTCACTTTTCTGGCCCATGTTTAATCATCTGGTGTTTCAGTTCGTGTTAATCTCCTCCCTGCATTGCACAGTGCAGCTCTCGCTGGCTTGGGCAGCAGTGGATTATAATGTGAAGAATGTGGGCAGTGGAAGCAGCTGGGTATGAATGCCAGCTCTGCCACTTAGACATTATGTAACCTTGAGCAAGTCACACCATCCCTTACTGTGTTCTTATCTAAAAGGAGATATTTTAAGGCTCTGTAAGATTATAAATAAAAGGGGCTAGCACAAGGAACACTCTAAAAGTTCATTTCCTTTTCCTTTAGAGTCAGAAACCTGGAATTGTTCTGCCTCCCTTTGTACCCTTAGTTTTGCCACAGTTAAAATGGAATTTGAATATCTTGCAGGATTCTGTAGTGTGTACATAGCCATAGCACCTGATACGTGACCACTACTTGTTCCTTTCTTCTGGAGTATGTTTATGGCTAGTAGCCAAACTCAGAATGTGGTTCACAATTCTTTGACACCCATTGACTTTTCTTTGACAAACTTCAAGAGATTATTTACATTTCACTTCCTACAATATTCCTAAGGGCTCCTATTTTTTGTAAAGAGATGCTGTGAGTTCACCCTATTTTTTGTAAAGAGATGCTGTGAGTTCACTCCCATGTTAACTCCAAACATGGAACTGGCACACACAAACTCTTCATGTCAGCACTCATAGATCCACCAGTTCTGAACAGTTCTCCATGGCATTAGTTGTTGAGAGTCTAGAAACAAATGTAAGACAACAGAGTGGAAAACTTAAATCACTCTAATTAAGATACTGTTTCCTACTCGGTTTAACTAAAAACAGAGTAGCCACTACTTAGTCTTGCACTACTTCTCAGCTCTCCATTTCAAACTATGATTTTGGATTTAGCATCCTTCTCTATTACCAACAGTAGTAACAGGGAAAGAATTGGAAGCTAACTTGTATTCTCTTCCAATCTTTTTGTTATGTACAACATATAATTTGTACTGTACATACACTTCAGTGAACTAGAAATTCACATCACCTTATATAACCACCACAAGGCATGGCTGTACTCCAAGTGCCCCTGTCATGACCCTCCCCATCACTCCTATGCAAGAAATGATCCCTCTCTTAATATGTCCACAGTAAGAGTTCTGATATGCATATATAGTCCATAAGTCCCACTGCAACACAAGTGCCAACACCCCAAGCTTTCCCTCATGCTTTTCCCTCTATCTCAGCAGTACCTCCTCCCACCCCAAACTAATGACAATATTTGCATATGCAAATAAACCAGGTCTAACTTCCACTTGGCAAAAAGGTTTTGGAGGTTCATGTGTCAGTAGTTAAGTCTTCACTGATGATAATCTATGTCATTTATGTGGCACAGCTACTCTATCCACTCACTGGATGGAGGACTTTTGGGTTGTTTCCAGTTTAGAGTTTTTCCTTGCCACCCAAATCCTGCAAGGAGCAGCAAATAGATTTCTGTGGCTGAAAGCCATGGCAGGCACAACAATCCCAACATCAAACATTCACAGCTTAGAGGCTTGCACAAGAGCCCATCATCCCAAAAAAAACTGCACAAGAGCCTGGTTACAGAGGAATTGTGCCCAAGCAAGACACTAAGAATGAACACCTGAACATTCAAAATCCTCAGGAATCACAATGGTCAGCCGCTGAGTATGCATTGACTAGTGCCACATTCTTATTTCCTGAGTCCTGGAAGAAGTAAGTGGCATTCGTTAACAATTAAATTCTGGTAGGTTGAAATCATATATATGCATTTGCCTTTTAAGTCATTATGAAATGTTAGGATAAGGTGAAAACAAATATAACCCTGTGTAATAGCAAGTTATTCTGTATTCATTCAGTCATTCTTCACTATCTGAGCAGACCCCCTATACAAATCTTGCTTCTCAAGTCCCTTATATAAAAATGGCATAACATTTTCATATGATCAAAGCATATCTTCCCAGATTATTTAAAATACCTCTTAAAATTACCTGTGTGTGTACGTGCATGCGCACGCACGTACACATGCACCCACCTAGTACTGAGGCTTGAACTCAGGGACTGGACAGTCTCTTAGCTGCTTATTTGCCAGTTCTGGGTCTTGAACTCAGGGCCCGGGCACTGTCCCTGAGTTTCTTTTGCTCAAGGCTAGCACTCTACCACTTGAGCCACACCAACACTTCTGGTTTTTCTTCTGTTTATGTGATATTGAGGAATTGAACCCAGGGATTAATGCATAGTAGGCCAACACTCTACCACTAAGCCACATTCCCAGCCCTCTTAACTTTTTTGTTAGCACTCTACCACTTAAGCCACAGCTTCACTTCAGACTTTTGGTGGTTTATTGGAGATTAATTTCTCAGTGTTTAGCTGTCTGGGTATGAGCCACCAGTGCCTGGCCAAAATGTCTCTACCTGAGTCAATATAGTACTTGAGCACCTTCAGATTTTGGTATCCCCTGGAGGTTCTGGAGCCAATCCCCAATAGATGCCAACTGTATGTAGTCTAGCAACCAACTGAAAACAACTCAATTTAGGAAACAGAACATGGAGACAAAAACCTGACCTTTTCAGAAAAATCAAACTTTTTAAACTCCAAAGGATAGTAGTTTGTTTTTCAAAGATTACTTCATTTTTGGTGTAATCTGTGAGTTTTAAGTATTACATTGTATGGTTTATAGAAATACTAATTCAAGAAGAACCTTGTCAGAGCTGGCTCTGGGTGATAGGACATGACACACTGGACCCACCAGTCTTATTCTCCTTACAGTATGACTGCTCATGTGTGTGTGTGTGTTATTTTTTTATTTTAATTTTAATTTTTGCCAGTCGTAG